TTCATATTTAACCTCCACAATCACTGAAAAAAAAGTGGTGTTTAAAATTATTTATGTTCATTAATGTTGCTTTTGTAGAATTGTTAGAAGCAGGAAAAAGGAAGTTAATGTCTCGTGGATTTCCCAATTATTCCACAATGGCACTGATGGGTAATGACTTCCGACTACTTGGTGAGGCTATGGTTATGTCTGTCATACAGGGTGGTCCAGCTCCAAATTTCTTAAATGAAAGTATATTCCAATATATTGCAAAGCAAGATTTGTCTGCAGAAAATTGTCAAAATGAGGCATTTAAATCAGCAGCTATTAAGGTATGAAGTATTTTAGAAGATGACCTAACCTTATTGATCTTTTTCATTCTTATGTTTATTTTTATTGCATAAAGTTTAGTTTTATGTTCTGTATTAGAAAAAGTGAAATTGCTCTTTTTTGTATTTTAGTTATCATCCTGTATAACAGATGATGTACTTCATGAAACCATATTGGCAGATGAGATATTAGATGTTTTGCAGAATGTTGGATACACCGGTGTGCCTCAAAAAGAAAGCATCAAATCATCCAAAGACATAGTGCAGTATGTGTTTTTTATTCTGCTAATATTTTTTATCTAAAATTGCTTTTAAAAGTACTTCATCTTAGTATTAATGTATCAATATACTTTCAATTGGCATCGTGTAAAAAATCAAAGTAACCTTCATTCTCACACACCCCTGGGAGTGGCTGCTGGCAAACACTCCTGCTACATAATCATAGCATGATAGTCATAACTACATCAGGAGTTAAAATGACGAATTTTTGCAAAATTGTTTACTCTCCACTCTTGCATAAATGGGTTGCTAGCTTAGTGTGTGCTGCTCACTTAGAGGAAAATAACCCTTTTATTTGCCTCTGCTCACATGCATTAATTGCTTTTGATTTGTTCTTTTCACTAGATCTATTTGTATAAAAGATCAAATCTCTAACAGCGTAGCCCAGCTGCAACAACTTCAAGAAGGCTTGTCTAACTGTAATCTTTTGACGCGATAAGAAAACAGCCACATGTATGGAAGGCAGTGTTTGTGCCGAGTGATATTTTCAAGTTTACTGCTGATGAGTTTCTTGACCATCTGCAACCTCAATATAGTAGCTCTCAAGCTTTGAAGATGAAGGAAGTGGATACCTTTAAATTCTTCAATGATGTAATACAAAAGTTTGAAGATGGTAAGGATACTAATATAAGCACATTAATTCTATACAATAAGGCTTACATAAACAGTGCAGGAACACAATATGTATAGTGCACATATAAATTGTATTCTAGAGTAAAAATAAGATATTCTACAGCATGTTTCATCCGTGCAGAAGTTGCTAAGCTTAAAGGATAACAAAATAAGTTTAATGGTGATGTTATAGATCCATTTCGATGTTTTGAAGACAAAAATTTACCAAATTCGGAGTGCATCGATCTACGCTTTCATTACCAAAACTCTGCAACACAACAATCAGCTCATTAACAAATGAAGTTGCACTGTTATATGTGCGGTGCAATTTTATTTCAACATCTACAGCGTGTGTTATAAGCTATGTTTTTGCCGCTGAGGTAATAATGTTAATGCATTTCAGGTTTGCAAAATATAACTATGACAGATTTCCTGCAATGGTGCAGTGGGTCCAAGGAAGTACCGCCGTTAGGTTTTCCCAATAGATTCAATGTTGCTTTCATCAATGATTGCAAAGATTGCTGCAAATGTAGACCATCTACGTCAACATGTGACTTGCTGGTAAAGTTACCTGTTCATATAGCTTCGGAATGTGAAATGGAAGAATTAATGGTTTCTGCCATTGGGGATTCGTGTGATTTTGGACTTATCTGAAAAGCAGACCTGACAATTGAAACTAATACTTTAATCGACTTGATCATTGCGAAATCGTTTTTTTGATGTTATGGTTATTCGCTTACACTCTAATGTGTTATTAGAAGCGTACGTACACAAACATTTAACATAAACAACATTTACAGCAAAAGTCAAACGTCGTGCCTGGTTTGTCCATGACGTGAAACTCATGTTTTTTTTTGTCGATTTTCCCGTTAACATTTAATCCTTATCATTAGCAGCTTCTACTAAGCATTGAAATAGTGCTAATGCTTCAGTTGCATTATTTGGAAGACGTAGTCCTTTTATTTCCATTACATGTTCGAAATACTCTTTGTAGTCATTTAGTCCTTCTTCCATCTCACATTCTTCCTCCATTTTGTTAATTTTGTCTGTTGGCACTTGGACAATGTAGTCAGCTCCACCAGTTAATTCTATTAAAAAGTAAAGAAGATTTGGCACGCCAGGTATAGTATCATATCGCGAACGTTGGATATAGTGAGTGTTCCAGTGATCAGTTATATCATTGAGTTCATTTTGTAGCACAGATTGGAAACAAAACCAGAGGCACTCCATGTGAAGTAAGTTTCCAAGAAGAACAACCCTATCGTGAACTAGACCTTTAAAAAAATTAATCCACCAGTTGCTTCGACTACGACGAAAGTACGACCACCAATTTTCTATCCTCTGGTTTGCGTGAGAAGAACCATAGCGATGAGCATTCTCTCCTGCCAAGTCATCTGTCCCATTATCTCTAAAATAACATTGCATTGAAGCCGCCAATCCATTCTCTGTGCCACAGTCACTCCATAATAGAAGTGGACATCCGAGGTTTTCTTTTACATTTTTAAGAAAAAGATTTGCAGGCACTTTTGGGTCGTTGTTGGATTTTACCACTTCAAGCCAAATTATTCGTCGGCTGTAACCATCTATAGCCCCATGAATAGGGAATCCATAGGGCTTTAATTTGTCATAGCCTGTAACAATTAGCAATGGTGTGATTAATATGAAATAAAACATTATGTTATGTTTTATAACCAATCAAAATAGGCAAACCAAATAAATCAACGTAGCCATCTTTTGTACTTTAATAAATTTCAAGTTTTCCTACCGTCCATGTGCCAGCAAAAGTTTGGACCGTATGATCGATATACTCGTCGTTGGAGACAGTGAGTTTTCTTTTGCTGGACACCTTGTGGATCAATTTCCTTCATTATTATTGCCACTTTTTTACGTGAAACGTGTACGTGAAATCGACGACGCAGGGCATGCCAGATTGTTCGATATCCTTACAAGCTTCCAGCATCATTTATTAGCTGACGAATAATTTCTTTTAGCCTATCGTCATCAATACAATCATCATTTTTTCGTTTTTTGAAACCATATTCTCTGAGTTTTCTTTTTAAAGTTCTACAACACATTTTAACGGCATGATGCTTGTCTAGAAGTAAGACTATTTCGTTGTATTTATAACCTGAATAAAAATAAGTTTCTATTAAAGTCCTTAAAGCGTTTTCGTTATCTTCAGCAGCCATTTTTATTATTTATTCAGCAGCATACGACAGTTGCAAATCGCAGCCGCAGACTTAATTTGCAGCAACAGACTTAACTTGCAGCAACCGACTTAATTTGCAGCAACAGACTTAACTTGCAGTAACCGCCTTAATTTGCAGCAACCGCCTTAATTTGCAGCAACCGCCTTAATTTGCAGCAACAGACTTAATTTGCAGCAACAGACTTAACTTGCAGCAACAGACTTAATTTGCAGCAACAGACTTATGGAAGTTGCATGTCGCTTGTGGGCCACCGTACCTCACAAACATACTGTTGTTGCGTTTACTTATTTCACATATGTTAAAACTTGCGATTTTTGTCATAACATAAACCTCATGGAGTATTCAATACATTAATGTGTTGAAAAAAAAAATTTGCATTTAGATTGTATAATAAAACTTATATTTTTGATTTTGTTGAAGCTAGCAGTATCCGAATCCATTATCACCCATAAGATAATTGCTTAATAGATGTGATGACAGCAAATGGATTTTGTTTCAGTTATTATTAGTGTTGTCTAAAATTTACATAATTCTGTTTTGAATTTATTTGTAAAAAAATTGTTTCTTTATATATTAAAACTTGCGTTTTTTTTTGTCACAACACAACCTGCATCGATTGTTGGTAATTGAAGGTTAAAATGTGTTTTGTAACTCGTGTAGGATAATGACTTTGACGCCAAACGGGGATTGGTACAATATAATAATAGATGATAAGATATATAAATGTAACATCGCATCGACACCCTCAAGGAATTTATAGAAGACATATTAGAGATGGCGCACTCTGAATTAAAAGAACAAAATTACGATCAAGTTAAAGTTCATCAATATTTTCGGGTGTGTAACGTTGAAATCAAAGCAATCAAAGAATTACAAAAAGAACGCGAAAATCTGATAAAGTTGTACAGAAAATGTTAGAATTTTACTAAATTTTAATACAAATCTTATATTTCGATTTTGTTGAAGATAATGGTTTAATAAATGTGATGACGCCAATGGAAGATAATTTTTTAATAAATGTGATGACAGCAAACGGGCTTTTTTGAGATATTATTAGTATTCTGTTTTGAATTTAGGTGTGATTCTATGTATTAAACATGCGATTTTTATTGTAAGACAAATCATTTTGTTTATTAAATACATTAAAGCGGTGAAAAAATTTTTTTGCATCTTTATTTAATGCAAAAAGCATATTTTCGATTTTGTTGAAGTCAGTGAAAGATTGTACTAGTTACAATTATTGAAGATAATTGCTTAATAGATATGATGACAGCAAACGGATTTTGTTTGAGATACTATTAGTATTCTCTCGAGTTTACAATTCTGTTTTGAATTTAAGCGTGATTTTATGTATTAAAACTTGCGATTTTTGTCATAACACAAATCGCTTTGATTATTAAATACATTAAAGAGGTGAAATCAGTTTTTGTATCTTGCTTAAACACAAAACGTTCATTTTCGATTCTGTTGAAGTCAGTGTCCGATTGTACCAGTCACAGATGTTTAATTGATATTTAATTGATACGATGACAGTAAATGGGTTTGTTTGTGTTCTCGAAGGGCAACTAGCAAACAAAGACACAGTGTTTTGAGATGTAGATATGAACGTTGAAGGCGAAACGGAAACGAAGGGTATTTTGTTGTAACGAGAGTATTTAAGAACGCGTAAATATCACAACTACATTGAAGTTTCTCAAGCTCTGTTGAAGTTATCTTGTTGAAAATCGGTTGGAATCTTAATGGAAATCGTTGACTATTCGCTATTTGTTGAGGAAAAACTTGTACGGGTAAGAGTTTAATATCATTTCCTTTTATTCACGAACTAATTTCTTTTCTCTAGCTACGCTAAAGTCTGTTTATTGGAGACTCTTCCCAATACTGTTGCAAAGACTTTACGTTGTTTGAAATAAAGGTAAGAATTTAATACTATTTGGTTTTATTTACGAACCAATTTCTTAATATCACAATTGCATTAACGCTTCTCTAGCTACGCTAAAGTCTGTGTATTGGAAGGACTATACGTTGTTTGAAATAAAGGTAACAATTTAATATTATTTGCTTTTACTTACGAAGTATGATATTATTTATGGAAAAAATTATAGATGATCACACGGTATAGAAAACGATTAATGGATCATTTGAAAGAGTATTTGCATCATACTGATGAAATATCATACTGGGTTTTTATTATAAAATGTTATTGTAAAGACGTATATCAATTACCCACAAAATTTTTAATGTGGGTGAAAAAACAATTTATTATAAAAGTTAGACAATATGAAAAGAACTTTTATGATATTAAAGATCTTGATAAAGTTTTAAATATTTTTATTTGCATAATCCAAAGAATCAGGGTACGGCTTTTAAAAAAGTACAATAGATTTTTATGCTAGGAAAAATTATGGTTTATTTCGAAAAAAAAGTGTTATGAGCTTATTTAAAGAACTCTGCGAAAGTAAATTTCAGAACTGTCAAAAGTGCAATTATTGTGTAAGGTTCAAGTTAGCCTTAGCAAAATTAATACTGGATTATATTGAAGCTGATTTTTTTCATTTTATTCGTGGAAAGATACAAAGAAAGGATTATTTTCGAATTAAAGACAAATTTCTATTAAAAATATTGCAAAAAGGAAATATGGATTGTACTTTATTAAACACCACCGGATTGTTGGATAAAGTTTATATGCATTTAAAAAAAGATGATAATATTAAAGAAGAAGAATATAACAATGATATTGAAGAAGAAGAATATGACAACGATATAATTGATTTTAATAAAAAGAAAGGTCAGAAAGGAAAATTAATATCTGACAAAAAAGCTATGAAGCGAGTTAACAAAATTAATGATACTTTTTTTTATTAGTAATTTTTTTTGAAATTGAATAATGGAAAGACATTATATCAAAAGTCATGTGCTGTTATAGATCATAATGGATATACTTTTTGTCGTGTAGGACATTTTGGCGGACATACTTGTAATTTTTATTATAATCAATGTATACCCAAAGTTGATATTAACTCTAACTATACAATGTATATAAATATATATGCTATTAAAAATCAATTGTTTCATTTTTAAATGGTTTTTTCATTTTTTTATTGTTTTTAATTAGTATTTCTTTGCAAATAACATAGTGACAAAGAAATTGGTTATATTTGATATCGTTTTTTGTGCATTTTACCCATTACATATCCTCGAAAGAATTAACGGTTATTATAAATTTTTTTATAGTTCAACAATATGGATTTTTTATCTATTCAAGTATTTACCATTTTATTGAAGGAATATCCTGGACACCAATTGTTATATCCCTTGCATTTTTTATGCAGTAATTTACTAAACTTGAAAAGAACCATGTCGCTAATGAAAGTGCTTAAAATTAAACCAACTGTAGAAGATTTAAAATATTCGCTTTATTTTGAATCTTTTTCAAATGATGAAAAATTCAAAACTGTCTACAAAAATGTAGATTTTATTGAATTTCTATATGGTACAGTAGGGATAATACGTTGTTGGGAGAATGAAAATACCGAACATCTTTGTTTAATTTCGACTTATTGGCTACCGAAAGTTTATATGCAACATAAAAAAATATTATTTAATGAAAATTTTTGTTGCAGATATCATTATTTTAATGTAGATAAACAAACGAATAAAATTTTATATGATTATTTCAACATTTATTTGCATGATTCTCAGGTTGTAAAAAAAGATAGTTTTCATTTAAGTTTAGAGTGTTGTAGTGTTGTAGACACGCCCCTTAAAAGTGACAATGACATGTATATGTATAGGAATGAGAAATGTTGTTGACAGACAGATATTAGAGAGCACAATAGATAGATACTAAAGGAAGACGATAAATTCTAAACATTACATTGGCGACGAGGAATAAAATATCAACGCAAACATGGCAACATTTTTATCTCCCATGCCACATTTCAATCCGGATGAAAAAATCGGAGGAAACATTGCAAATAGATGGCGCACGTGGTTGGCAGATTTTAAAACATTTTTAACAGCCAGTAATATAACAAATAGAACTCGGCAACGGGCTTTACTTCTTTATCAAGCAGGACCCCGAATTCGAGAGATATTTCGATAATTTCCAGACCCAGGAGAAGATGATGATCTTGCTAAGGCGAAAATACTTCTTACGGAGTATTCTGAACCACAGAAAAATCGGTTATATGAAGTTTACAAATTTCGACAAGCAAAGCAAGTAGAGTCCGAAACAATCGACCAATTTCATACAAGACTGCGCTCATAATCTAAAAACTGTGAATTTGCTGATGTAGATTTTGAGATAATGGTTCAAATTGTTATTGGTGGACGATCCAGTCGTGTACGAAAACAAGCATTAAGAGATCCTAAATATACCTTAAAAGAAATGTTGCTTGAAGCAAGGCGTGAAGAAACAGGTAACGTACAAGCGGCGGACATCGAAGAGCATTTGGACAGCCACTTTTTAAAAACATACACTAAAAAAACCTACAAATAAAAACTCCCAAGCCGATAAACCACAGAAGATATGCTTTTACTGTGGAGGTAACTACCCCCATTTAGACAAACCTTTCCCAGCGAAGAACAAAACATGCGCCAAATGCGGGAAGTTAAATCATTTTGCAAGCCAATGTCGCAGCCAAAACTTGCAGAAAATCAAAACACCCGCTAAACCACGCCAAGACATACGACCGGTAAAGGCTGATGAGGAGAAAGATAGCAGCAGCGACAATAAATCGGAATACTGTTATGCGGTTTGTAACAACAACAAGCCTAAACGTCCTGAAACGTCAATATCGCTCAACGGACTATATGTCCGAATGACAATTGACACTGGCTCAAGCATAAATCAGTCTAATACTGTTAGAATTGTTATTTTCTTTTAGTCTTAAACTAACAATGTCGATCTATTAAAATGTTGTACGACCATGGTTGTATGAGTCGAAAACTGCCATAATTATATTTCTACCACATTCTTCAAAACACTTTAACACTGTTAGCTTTCTCATCACTCTTTTAAACTTAAACTAGGAATGTCTCTCTATAGAAACATTTTTACCATCGTAGTTAAATAAGCCGAAAACTGGCATATTTTATATTTCTACCACATTCTTCAATGCACTTTAACAATGTTAGCATTCTCATCACTCTTTTAAACTTAAACTAACAATGTTCTCTGGCGAATTCCAAAATTTTAGAATTTTTTTTTATTGGAGTAAAATCCATGACATTGGACAGTTTGAGCAACCTGGCATCTATATTTTTACTTTATTCTGTCACGCCCATGGATCATGCTATATTGAACCTTGGTAGGTGTTTACTCACATTTAATTTAAGTATAAAATACTTTAATCGTTTTCTCACATGGCAAATGCCTGCTGCTTTGATTGTTATATGTAGTGGTATAACATTTTTTCAAGTCATTAGAAGATGAATAAGGTATTTAATATTCTAAATTATTTTACATCAATTTTAAATGGACGTTGGCTATTTTTTGAATATACAGTTAAAACGGTTTTATATTTTGTTCTACTGACAATATCGTTCTTAGTAGTTTTTTAGAATCTTGTTAAAGCTAAAACTAAGAACAGGATTGTAGATGACGATCAGAATAATGTGTTTGCAAATCATAGCCATACAACCTCTTGGATTTTTAACAAAAACGTTTCTACCTCGTTTATCAGTGACATACAACATTTTCAACGAGAAAAAAAAATATCTGCACTCGTGTATTGTGGGACGATGAAGTGCGAAAAAGTTGTGAACAATCTTAATAGCCCATTAATTTCTGCAAAAATTTTGATTTTACCTGATGTATTAAATGAAACTCCATTTAAGAACTGGTATGACTGTCACATTTTGCCAAAGATATTGACTGGCATTAATTTTGAGTGGTATTTAACAAAAGATGTTTTTATGGCACATTTGTGGCGTTCCAAAGGAAATTTTTACATTCCCTCATGCAGAATTTTCTTTTCTATATCTTTTATGATGTCTTGCTCTTTAATCTTGTGGATAAGAGTTTCAATCTCTACATTCAACTTTTCAACATCCAATTTTAAAGCAATCACTTTATGAATACCTCCAAAACCAATAACCATTCATGTATTGAATACATAACAGATAAAAGTTTCTCATGATTTCAAGTGATTTTTATTGAGCTTTCGACTCGTTGCACTGAGCCTTCATCAGAACAAGGATATTTATTTACACGCGCTTTTAGCTTGGAGACGTTTAAAGCATCTAATTGGATTAGTGGGTGGATTAGTGGGTGGATTAGTGGTGGATTTAGATGGTGTATATTAATGGTTCTTTTTGCGAGTTATGTTGAATTCTACGTCAGATGACAATCCGAATGAGATGATACAGAAATTTGCAGAAAAAATACATTTCTTGTTAAAACCATCATGAAGACACTTGAATCATTGTTGTTTTACTTGCTTCCTATTGGTTTGATGGTTCGCCTTCAAAACCGCTTAAACCAAGCATATCAAGTTGTCGAGGACTGTAATTTAGAAGAGCAAGAAAAGAACGATTACATCTTCTTCCATATGCACGCCAAAAGACGCATGTGTAAATACGTCAAAACAGCACCAGGTTTGAAAATCTGTGGTTACCGCCTTCCAACCTTCCAGGCTTTTATTCTGGCGGCCTTTGGTCCATTTTTCGGTTTTTTTCTACATTGAATATTTATTCACATCCACGCAAAACAGAAATGAATTAGCTCTGAACATATTCTTTATGAACAACAAAATCTTTTTTAGAAAAGCCAAAGGGGACTTCAAGTGTCTTGCAATGGTTATTATTTCTTATATGAAAATCAGATTATATAATTCCTTCTGCAATAGTTAATCCTTTTAATGTCGTCAGACTAAAGCAAAAGTTCATAAGGTCCAAAATTTTACAATTAATTCTCGTATTGAGCTCTTAAAAACAGGAACTTTTAAACTACGTTGTAATAATGTTTTGTTTGAATTATCATGTAGTTTTTTATATGCTTTAGTTAAAAATACTGCAAGAGCGATAAACCCTAGAAATATGTTTATGCCTACAACATAGGATGCAATTTTTGATTATTAACGTTATTTAAAAGGATAATTAAGGGGTAATTAAGAAGTTTCAGATGTTTTTGAGATGATGTTTAAAAATAACTGTTAGTGGTTTTACTCAAGAGTATGGAGTAAACAGAACTTAGTAGTAGCAAATGACTTATTTTAGCAATCCTAATAGGATGGGGGACAAAGAGAAAGATAAAGAGAGAGATTGGTTGGTTTTCAAATAATTATCGTTAGAAAAAATTCATCGTGTTCTTCTGCACGATTTATTGAAAAAAATGGTTTTATTTTACTCTTTACAGTTTGTTTCTTTAACCTTATAATGACTTGCATTGCATATCATTTTGTTGGAAAAATAGCAGTTGATATAAATACAAGCTACATGCACACTTTAGCTTGATTCAATTCACCTGTATCGACTGCCAATTTGACTTCGCCAGATCCAGATATATGGATAAAACATGAGTAACATGACATACTTCTATGTAAACAATATCATGTCGATTTTAAAGAATACGATAGACAATTAGACATGTTAAGTATGACTTGACCACATACTCACTGCAATGTTGTTTTTAATAAGTCAAAAGAAACTGTCATTCAATCTATATTTCATTCCCCATTTGATAAATGTGCCAGAAAATGAGAAAAAGATAGTTTGATAACAATATGCGTTGCAAGACAGCGTAACACATTGTTCCTGCTCGCCCATGACTTTAGGTTTAACAACCAAAGAGGGTAAAACTGCGATATTCATGTTGATTTTCATAAATAAGAAAGAAAGAGTCTTTCCATGAAACAAGAAACCCATCAAATGTCACAGTTTTTATAATTTATTGTACTAACATTTTTACTTGCTAAAACATACATATTACTTGAAGTCGTTTGAGAAGTTTCTTTTCTCTTAAATTTATTCTTACCTTTGTCATTTATTATAGTAAAGATGTAAATTTTTATTTTAGCTCTAAGGACTTGAGAGTAGAAAACATTCAGGTGTAAAATAATCTCTAACATAAAAGAAGATTCCGCTACTGTACTGGGGAAATGCCAGTAAATTTGATGATCAATTTTCACATGTTTTGTACTTGTTGCGAAGTATGTCATTTTGTACGTTTTATGTAAATTTTTGTGAATTAAAAATGCTGTGAAAAGTACAAAATAAATTGCCAGCTGATGCAAAAATCATTTTTCACCTTAATGATTTGGTCCTCTCAAGTGTTTTCATCAGTCGCCGTGTTGGGGTGAAATTCCAAACAGTGAAAAGAATTTCTGCTAATTTTATGTTCTGCTGAGCTTCGACACTCTCATCTCCCAACATGGCCTATATGACGTCAAAAGCAAACAAATTATAGCTACGTTTGAATGAAAACAGCCCCAAACATCATTAAATATTTGTTAAAATTGCCTCTCTATTATTACAAAACAGCGATTTTGTGCACGTTATGATGACAAATTTCCATATTCCATTGAAAAGCGTGTTTCGAAAAACATTTATCAAACGCTTACACTTGCTGGCATGGTGACCATGTTTATTTAAATACATATGCATATTTTAAGCTGACAGTCGTTTCAAAACTACCTATGGATGTTTTTATTCATCACGGCATATATGCTTTTCAAACCAACATTATTATTATAAAATCATCACTTAATAGAAATTTGTACAACATTATTCCAAAATAGGTGACAGGAGACTACTTTGAAATACTTTACCACATAATTCGTTTTCTAAGTCAGAGAGCGAGGGAAGTCTCGAATTCAACAGAGTATATTTGCTCTTTGAAAATCCAAGATTTCTTAAAAATCGTATGCTAGAAATGAAAAATCGAAAGCAAACGTCGAAATTAATGCTTTGATTAACATCTATCTAAAAGATAGCCAAAGAAAAAATTAGCAACAGAATAAAAACAAACACATGAACCTGAAAAAGGATTGAAGTCACTAAGCAACAAGTCAGTGAAACAAATAAAAAATATTTATACCTCATCTTGTTTTTTATCTTGTTCTCCATCACCATGCTCCACGTCTCTCCGTCAGCATTCTCCTCGTAGGGCCATCAGCCTCCTTCTCGTAGCATCATCAGCATGTGTAAATACGTCTCCATCACCATGCTCCACGTCTCTCGTAGCATCCTTCTCGTAGCTCCGTAAGCAACTTCCTCGTAGCTCCGTCAGCATCCTCTTCTTTTCATCAGCCTCCTCTTCGTCTAAACGAAAAATCTAAGAACATGTTAAGATTAGGACAGGAAAAATTACAACGTACTCCTGTATCTTCTTCTTGATCTTCATCCCTTGTACCTAAAAATAAACTGAAGAAGGATTTATTTGTTTGATGGTAACAAACAATTGCAAGCACCTACCACTGCCAGGTTCACGTTCTTTCACTGTCCGTAAGCCTGACATGTCTATTAAAGTGCAACGACAATATCATAGCAAGTGATTATTGAGATCGTGCTTTCAGATTGTAATAGATCTGCTAAAAACATTTATATCCATGACTGTTTATGATTGAACATGTATATTAAGTGAAGAGCTCTTTGAAGATTATAACACTCGCGGAAAGGTTATCGTTTGATTCGTGCATTGTGTTGTAACATCCCTCAATGTTATAACAAATGCAGTGTTCTGTAACATTGTCAAATGATTTATTACATGCGAAATAATTCAAAAATATCTAAATAAAAACAAGATAATTAACGAATGTCTCACTCAATATATTCTCTACTCAATGCTTTTCGATTTTATTCAAAAGGTTGTTTAACTATTACGGTAAGGTACGAAGGTTTGTAAAACATCATCGCATTTGAAGATTTAGCAACATTTTGCCTGCATGTTGCAATAACTTGTATACTCTATAATATATATCTGAGGTAATTCATTTAAACGTTTCTCAAGTGAATTACCTAATTTCATGTCACCTACTATAACATCACTTGATCCCAAATTAGTTCCTTTTAGAAGCAGGGATAGATTGACCAAAGGGCAAGACTAGGAAGCTGTCTAAAAGCCTCCACAAACAACAGCCTTCACATTATTCAAAGGAAAAATAAACATAGTTGCTTTAAAGACGATCAAAAAGCATTTAGTTTATTTGTTGGGTCGATTTAAGCTGATGAAGAAGAGACCACGTATGACAACGAATCACAGTAAACTCAGCCTATTTGCTCTGATGAGCATTGAGGACAATATTCCAACAGAAAAAAACTTGGAAGAACTTATCAAAGACTGTGTTCTCGCTTCCATACATAAGTGGATTATGACGATTTTTTACTGCTCCAAGATCAAAACATAGAAATACTAAGAAACCAAAGAAATCGATCATTCCTTCCAACAAAAGGAATATCGATCATTATTCCAACAAATAGGACTCACAATTGGTTATTTTTAATATGACTTTCTTATCACGAATTTTTCTGTAATTAAGGCTTTCAAACGACTAATTCTCGATCATGTTTGTCATCTGAGTTGTCGTTTTCCCTGTTTTTTCTATTTATTCAAGTTTCGAACATCAGTATAGTCGACCGTATATTGCATTTTCTGAAGTTGTTTTACTTTCAACAAGTATGAAATTGTCTTGAAATGTTCTGAAGAACTTATCTAGCACAACAACACTTCATTGAAACACGTCAACAGTTCAATGTGAAACATGCCAGAATTGGAGACATTATTTTTTACTCTTTTCTGATGAAACATTTAACTAAGAGCATGTGTCGAAATTTGTATAAAAGTCTTTGTTGTTTATATTTTATGAATAAAAGGGAAATCTAGAATTGTCATTAAACGTGAAATACAGAGAAAACATCACACACAGACAGACATTCAAACTGGGATGAGCCTTCACTGGCTACATTTTTATTTGTGAACAATATTAATGTCTTGTAAAGAAAGAGAAACGAAGAAGAATGTTTTGGATAAATCAAATACTATGGAAGTGTATTTTGATAGTATCTTTCGTTCATCATGTAGGATTTGATTTCTTACTAATTGAACTACATGATTGTGTCAGTAATTTTGACATTCAGATTGTACATTAAATCCTTGAGTAATATTCTAGTATGGAAAATTTCTTAGAAATAAAGATATCATTGTTATTGCAACTAATGTTAGAAATATTAGAACTGACAAATATGTTCTTAAAGTTGTAAGGATAATCCTGCCAATTGAAATTAAAAACACCTTTAAAGTAAGAAAAATTGCACAAAATTCTGTTGCCTGAAAGTAACACATATTATCTTTATCGTGGCTTACGTTCAATGTTGTCAGCTCATGGAGCAAAAAGGAGTTATTTACTGTATTTATTGATGGTTTCTTTGAAGAACCAGTTGCTGTCAATCTATATGATGTGAAAGTTATTACATATTTTGCTGTAAGAAATATCACATGGGTAATTTTTCAAAGTGTTTACATATGTAATCAAATTTCATCGTTTATTATTTTAAATGTATTTTCTCTACTACAGACTAAGCGAAATGACAAATGATGTTATTAATGCTTAGTTGGTTATTTTGGAAAATATTTAAAGTATCTTTGGACATATTTAGTTAAAATTTTTTCTTTAATGGATTTTGAATGTTTGTTTTAGTAATGAGCATTTGAAACCTTACAAAATGTAAAACATCATTTGTTCTACTACTTTTTACACTCGTTTTTGCTATTTGTTTAATACATACAAATTTCAATTGTTTTAACTAGATGAACGGGGAATGTCCCGATTTTTGGTTTTTCTGATTCAAATTTATCTCTGACGAGAGTGTAGAATGTAAATTAAATAAAAGTCAAAATGTTTTTCATATGATAATAATGAAAATCTCTGTACAATATCTGTAATAAAGTTACCTTTGAAAACTGAAGCAAACCCTCCTCCATTTGCAACACTTCAAATTCAATCGAACTGTTGATTTTTCGATACATAAATATATAGGCATCGAATGGATACTCGTCTATCATAACAGCTATGTTGTTTTCTCTTGATCTTTTTCAGCGTCAACTGTCTGAAGTGATGTTGCTTAAAGGTGCGACATGAGATTTGATGGATGAAAGGATGTCCGTAGTGCTGTGCAAACATGGGTTAAAATTGATATAGACATCTATAAATTGACATTAGAAGTAGCCATAAATTATCGTCTCTTTATTGCTTGTTTATCTCTATGGTCTTCATTTTTCAAGTGGAACTTTGAAAGTTTTCATGCATTATCTAATCATTATTTAAAAATACATATTCAAAGAAGGGTAACTTTCTTCTTGACACTGCGACTCAACGAAAAGACTTAGAGGAAAAAGGGCTTTGCAATGTATCAAAGACAAACCTTTTTCCTTGCATCATACCCTAATAATTTGAGAGCAAATAATAAGTCTTTATATATATTTATTGAGCTAAACGTTGTTCACATTTTTTACCTGTGAAGAAAACTAACTATTGACTGGAGTCTCTTGGCACTTGTACATACATCGTCAATAGCATTCCTTAGAGTTCTCTTCTCACAATACAACTGTATATACAAATTTGCAGAGTAAACTTTGAATTTCTTTAAATCTAATATGGTGATTGCTTCCTGTTCACTTTAATCAGATCACGTATACATCTACTCATTTTATTTATTAAAAATGTTGACATCGAAATATGTTTGTAGATACAAAATTTATGGTCAATTTTAGTAAATGTCGCAGTTGTTTCTTGAATAAAGAATATCTCAAGAAATAAAATAAAGTAAATCTATTTATGAAGATATTACCTCATTTCAATCAAATGCTCTATGTTAAAATCGGAAACTACATGGTAAAACATAGCCGCTTTATTTTAATCACAATGAATACTAATTTTTAGGAATGAAAACAGGTTTTACGTTCATTGGTTTATGTTTATAAGGTGAAGCAGGTGATCCAACAATTAACACGTGATTATCCTTTAACCATAACCACATACTTTATGAAATCCTCGCATCGAGTACCAGATTCGTAAACATCTTATTTATTCCATGTTGTCCAACTTTAGCATGTTTCATTTCAATGTAAAATATATACGTTTTACCGGATGTCTCTGGAACAAAATCGTCCTTTTCTTACAAGGATTTTTACTGTGATCCAACGGCTCAGCCAACCTACAATAAAACAGTACAACCCATTTGCAGATAAATAAAAATTGTTTGGTAACTGAACAATGGAAATGTCAATATATATTCTTGAAAATTCACCTGGTCAACCGTTCGATCTCATTTTCATAATTTTGTTTGATAGCAAACTAACATTAAATTTAACGTTAGCGACATTATTTAAACTGCGTGTCTTGTAAAGAGATTCTTGAATGATAACATTTATATGCTGGCCTTTAGCGCCAAAATGGTACGTTCTTGAAATATCGGAATTATACACTCACGTCCCTTCTTGATCCTGTCATTCTCATCCATATATCCCAATCTATAAAATTATCAGGTTTGGGCCATTTTGGCTCAAGTTCATCTTTATAAAGACGTCGTTTTAGTAACCTGAGGATGGAAATAAATATTTTTCCATGAGCATCGAATATCTTATTTAAGTAAAGAAATTTTCTCTCGTGTTAGCAAAATCATTGGTTGTAATAATTTCACCATCCTAAACCTGCATTGTTTCTACACGATATAACATACAGGATCATTACATGATTGTAACCCTAAAAATAGAAATAACCTTTATCGATCTATTTTCACAAGGAACTGAACCATATAATTATAATAACGAAAACTTAAGTAATTTAAGGTTTTGCAGAAGAAGGTTTGAGATCGAACATTTCCACCTCTGAAAAAATGACTAGACAAAACAGACTCTCAAATTAAACTATTTCATGGACATTATTTGATGTTTTATTTTCACACCTCGTCAGAGATAAAGTTCGACAAAAAACAAAAGAATCAGAGACGTTCAAAATCAGTTAATAAAGTTGAAAACGAACTGAAATTTTTTGTGTAGCAAACACAAACCAACAAAAGAGTAAAAGACTAAAAAGAAGTAAAGAATGTTGTTAGCTTTGTTTATAATAAACCTGATCATTCCAGATATGCAAAGTACAAACTTTCAGTATCCATTAAAGGCAACAATTGATTAAAATAAATAAATATGTCCACAGATACGTCTAAATCTTCTTCCAAAATAATCATAACGAGCATTGGGATAAGCATTAAACGTCTCTGTCAGTGTTCTTTAATGCTGGGAGGAGAGAAAATAAATTTAAAAATAATAAAAAGATAGAAATTTGATTACATCGTAAAACACTCTCAAAGAAAAGTTACCAACCTGTGATATTCTAGCGTTCTTACAACTTATAGGAATATGCTGTACGACTTTCACATCATATAGCCTTAGCAGCTGGTTCTTCAAAGAAACCATCAATAAATACAGTAAATAACTTCTTTGCTCCATGAGCAGACAACATTGAACGTAAGCCACGATGAAGATATATGGCCTGTTACTAGCAATCACAGCAACAGGAATGTCTTGAATATTTTCTAACTTTAATGGTGTTGTTTTAATTTCAATTGAGCAGGATTATTGCCTAAAAAGTTAAGAACATATTTTGTCAGTTCTTCATATCGTTCTAAAATTAGCTGCAATAACAGTGATATCTTAATTTCTAAAATTTTTTCCATGGAGTTTTCTCAGTATTATTTTTCGAAGGTTTAATGCAGAATGTGAATGTGTAAAATTACTGCACAAATCGCTGTATCCAATCAAATACGAAATCTAATCCTACATGGATGTAACGAAAAGATACTTACAACTGCAACTTCCATAGACCTATCACAAAACGTTCTTCTTCGCTTTGACTCTTCACTGTCATCCCAAGCACATTGAGATTGTTTAGCAGGAACAAGGAACTGTAGCACGAGCAGTGACAGGCTCACCCCAGTTCGCTCTGTCTGCTGTGTGATGATGTTTCTCTGAGTAGTTCTGGCCACGTTTTGTGACGATAAATGACCAGCTATCCCGCCATTTTAGTTCATCAACATAAACACTACCAAACTTTTAAGCAAATTTCGAGCAGTTTATTTAAATGTAGCTTCATCCTATAAAAGGTAAAATAAATCAATGTCTGCAAATGATGGCGATGTTAAAAGCAATTTCATCCTATTAGGCATAAAATATTTAAATATCTGATAAATATGGCGATTTTTGACCTCGTCTTTTCAAGGACACGATGCATTATTGTAGTTTATATAACATATTTACATATTTACACCTTTCATAATGTTTTTGTCAACCAAGACGAATATCTTAGTCCATTTGAGTAGAAGAAAAATAAATGTAAAACAACATTTTGTGGAAAAGTTCAAGAATTTGACATAAGGTATTGATAAGCGACGTTTTGTGGTAATTTTAATTTAGCAAATTTACCTTTACTGCAAAACACATAATTCGTCCATCAGAAATCATATTTAAAAAAAGAACCAAGTTAGCACTCTCTTGTTTCGACCTAGATGTATCAAATACTTTCGTTGCCATCATTGCTCCTGTTGATTGATGAAGAACAGTGACATGGATACCTCTACTACGTGCAGCATTTGTATAGGTCTCTTCTTCCATAACCTTTTGTTGAATATACACTTTACTACAAGTTTGTTGGTATAGATCGTCTACGGTAGAGTCCTGAAGACTTTTGCCGTCGATGTTGACTGACGTTTTGACAACTTGGAGGTGTAGTCAACATCAACTTCAAAAGTCCTTCTCAAAAATTTACTAACTTGAACGATATTTATATAAAAATGTAACGGTGCTCCTGGGTTCAAACCCTATTTTAATCGCTCATTTATTTATAATTCTTATTTTTAACCATTCAATGATAAATATCTGTTAAAGACAACTTGAAATTGAATGTAATAATACCAACTTACAATTTTGAGAAAGGCATCGACAAATGTAGAAAGTAAATTCAGTATTATGTACCTTTGTTCCATTCACTAATACATATACATTATCTTTACTGGAGTGAACTTCAATGTTGATTATCTTACAACAATCTTCCTCATCTATATTAACAAAAATTTCTCTAAATCATTTTGTTGAATATTTTCAAAAATACTATGGGAGAGAAATGTGACTCTAAATAAAACAGGATCACCAATCTAATAAATAGGTTTAGAAAGAAGATGTAATAAGTTTATAAAAGGAGACTTTTTTGACACTCTCTTTTTTTTGCTTTACAAGTGCATTTGATGAAAAATATATAAAAAGCAATTTGCGTTGATTGTGCAATGGACATTGAAGTTGTAACATAAAGACATATCGTTCATTTTCATATATTCAAAATCTTTCTTTAATTTTTCGTTTGTTCGGTGGATACTAAGTACTAACGTTATTGCGAATGATGAATAGGGTTTCGTGTAAAAAGCGAACTCAATAGTAGTATTCTTATTATTTAAATATAAATCTGCCGTAAACTCTTTTCACAAGGAGCCGCAATTTCTCCGCTACTTTTTGAGAAATATCCGTTCCTTGATTTTAAATAATCTAAAAACTGGATTGCTTTATTTATTGAGTTTGAAAAAGGCTTTATTGAAAGTCGGAAAGTCGGCTCTTTAAAATCTTCTTTATTGCTAAAAATGACAGATCTAAATTAAAATGAGTTACTGCACCTATTGGTGATAGAAATATTTCCAAATGCCTTAGAGACACCTTGATTGGTGAAATATTATTCTTTAGGAGATTCATAACAAATGATTTTGTTTATTGAGTATTTTAAATTTGAAACCTTAAGATGTAAAAGATGTTTTTTTTTGTGTTTGCACAGAGTTATACGTACATACCAAATGTTTGAGGGAGCTCGACAGTGGCGCAACTAGAACGTTAATTGGGGGCGAGGGGTGCATAATCATATATTCCGTTATGCCCCACTGATTTCTTTGAAAGTAATTTGAATTTCAAACATATCAGTAGGACACAACTGAATATATGAATAAACCCTCCCCAATGAACTTTCTAGTTACGCCACTGGAACTCGATTAAATATAACATCTGGATAGACTAAATAACAGCACAGTGAAAATAACGCAAAAAAAACTTAATGGCAACTAGGTAAAAATTTTTCTTCATTTTCACCGTGATGTGTTAGTTAGTTGGCCGGTGGTGAAATTAGAATAATTACATAATGCACTTAAAGTCTAAGTGGTGTAAAAACAAAATTTTTAAAAGGCTTCATTTCAAACAGGTTACTTTTTATGTCTGTTATTTGAAACAACGTTACTCTACATTAGTTAATAACTCTATCTTACAATGATTAAACTACTTCTATTTGTACAAGATATTGCGTATGGATTTATCTGCTTCTTTACTAAATATGTTTAATTTAAATCAACGGAAAGCTATTAGGAAGTATAAAATATATTGTGACAATTATATTATAAGTATCTCTTAAATTAATCATTTAGTTACTTACACTTCACTTAATTCTTTACCACTTACAGGAAAAATATGAGAGCATATTTTAACAGTGAAAATATTGCATCTTCGCGTGGCAAACAGCGTATATCGAACATAACAATATCTAAGCAATTGTGAGCGACAAAATAATGCTTGTCAATATACTTACCCATATTAATGACTCTCTCTTCAAACTGTCCATTCTTTGGAAGTCCGTATAGATCATTTCTGTGCTTGGGTTTAATGTTCATAACAAATACGACATTCACCATTATTGTTAAAATCAAAATGAACACGAGCAGCCATTTGAAACATTTCCTTATTGATCTCTTCAGGCAAAATTCCAAGCTCGTAAAACAACGTATGTTAAATTTATGGGAAATATTTGTGGGATAAATCTGTTTAGCGTTCGGATTTGGCGTCCAAGACATAGTGGTTTACAGTACAAAATTTCCTGTGTTATGAGACACGTCAATGCAAGAATAATTCAAGCGCAGTGGGTGCAATATTAAAATATATTAACAGGCCTCCATTTCATTGGATAAAGCTGCTGTCGGGTTTATTGCCAGCCAGTTTTTTACCGATATCAATAAATTTCAATGAAAATAGGCACTCTTGACATCTGCTCCTCGTTTATCTTAAAGTCTCTTTGTTTAAAATGGTGAATTTAGTGAAAACAAAAAAATTCCCCAAGATTTTAAATCTGAACGAAAGTATTCATTTAGGCAAACACTGAAACAGTTCAAAACAAAACAAAAGCAGCAAGTTTATCTAAATATGCCACACGTGTTGTGTCAATAATTGCTTAAAAAGACAGACAACCTGCCAATAATATTTGAACGAAAACTTGCGCGGTTTCTTCGACTTACCAATGGAGTTCAATTGAATGAACAGGATCTTCTTGCGCTGTTTTCGGAATAACGAGCTTGCTTGACTAAAAATTATTTGAAATAAATCATCTGAATATGTCAAGTTCACTTGATCATACGCAACATGTTGGAGAAATTGCTTCAGCTCATAATCATGGAAATTACCAACTGCATGAGCTTGCACCTGTTTTCAAAGATATTGGCTCACAGTCAAGTAATATGAGAAATATCATGTAAGCATGCGTAGTTGACTTGACCAACTCTTCGTAATTAACAGATTTATGGTAAAGTTTAGAACTAGTTTATGATCAAAAACATAAATGTTTAAGTATGAATTTGGCTGCATACAGTGGTTTGAAAACAAGAAAAGATGTTTTTAATGATTATTTGCGTTTTTTTGTTCATTTTTTGCAACTGAATAAAAAAATGTTTTTATTTGTGTAACTTGGCAAAACACATTGTTCTAACATCCAAAATATTATTTATAAAATTCTCTCATTACAAATAAAGAAAATATGCAAGTTTTTAATTACCTGAAGATGAAGGAGAAACACAACTTTTTTTAAAATTACATTTTCATTTAAAAAAATTCTGCGTTTGTTTGACGAACGAAAACATTTTTTAAGTTATATCTTTGTTTGAAACATTCCTTTAAACAGTAAAGTGTTACAAATTTCATCAGGAATAACATCTGTAGCTGTTTTTTTTTAATAGAATTTTTTTGAAGATCTCGTTAGCCACCAAAACCGTTTGTTTTAAAACACGTGAATAGAAATTGGTCAACGTTACATGAGGTATTGCAAAATTTTTCGGTGCAGAGTCATGGCAGTGTGCTGGGTTTTTGAGAGTTTTTGAAAAGATAAGCCACCTTTTAAAAGTGAACCAAAGTCAAAATTTGCACAAGAGAATGCGTTATTTGTTTACTAATTTACGCAAAAAAGAAAAAATGTCTTAAATTTTGCTTTCACCAAGTCAAATGGAAAAGAAATGGAGTGCAAACAATGACCATTTATCAACTTAGTGTTCGTCTATACTAAATAAATATTTCATGATCGTCTCTTGCTCCCAATGGCTGCTGTCATTCTTACACCTCCACTTCGAAAATGGGAACAAAGTCGAGTACGGATATTTTCGATATTATTAAAGTCACATTTTAACGGATGGAATAATAGTACAATAATGTTAATGTTTCCTTCACACTTGTAAGAGTTTCTTGAGGAATTCATTTACGCGGAGAACGCTATCTTTACATGATCGCCGATATTACTTTTTAGTAGCAACTGGTGAAGAAGATATTTAGTAAATAGTTGGTTTGTCTGAATATTTGTCATCATAGTTTAAAGTGCTCAAGTCAAAGAAAATGTTGTCTATATTTACGTAATAAGATTTTCAGATAGTAGTGATAGTACAACAAGTACAATATGTCTTGGACGCCTAATCCGAACGCTAAACCATTTCACCGACAAATCCTTACTATACTTAAGGTTTAATCCCAAAGTAAGGTTATCAGAATATTACAATAACCCCCCTACCTTAAGTAAAATACTTCCACCCTCTTTAGTGGAAAAAAGAAACCCCTAATCATCCCTGGTAGACAACAATTGTCTATGAGACTCAGGGATTCTCTACTTAACTTTAAACAAAACAAGATATCAACGAACATTACCACGAACAGTCCTATCTCAGGACCACACGAACATGGACGATATACATGTACAAACACATAAAGGAAAATATATTCTTAATGATACATTCTAAAGGCCATGGTAATACAATTGATGTTGAAGTTCCTTCCAGTAAAGATAGTGTATATGTATCACTTGAGGGAACAAAGGTAAACACTCAGTCTGAACAAAGCAAGAAATTCTGTGTCTGTTCTTTCTATTTTTAAATTTCTAAGCATGTATGATAACCTTCTGCTAAAGATATCAGGAAGGCTTTAAGAAATATTTACCTTTAACAGCAAATAGAAACTTGTGAAAGAGAGAAATTGTTACTCAAAAGAGAAGGCAATAGTTACTTGTTAGAGAGAGCTTTATAATAGAGTGAATATTAAATTCAATACAAGTTTATGGAGGAGACTACTACAAATGATGCAGCTAGAGGTATCCATGTCACTGTTCTTCATCAATCAACTGGAGCAAAAATGGCAACCGGGATATTTGATACATATATGTCAAAAGAGGAGAGCACTAGCTTGGTTCATTTTTTAAATATGGTTTCTGATGGACGAATTTTGTGCTTTGCAATTAAGGTAAGTTTGCCAAACGAGCTAACTTATAAAGATAGTTTATCATATGAGATTGTTCAGTTCTTCCCCTGTTTTAAATTCTATTTTTATTCATCTTAGATATAACGAACTATACAGTATAGTAACAAGATACTGTATATTATTATGCCATTTGCGAAGTTTGTTTTACTAATTCAAACAGATTTTTATGAAATATGTAAATTTGAAATGTTACTGAACATTACATTATACGTAGCTACAACGAACATCTGACGTCATCGAAACACGTCAACAGACTTCAATGTGAAACATCGCCATAATTAGCAGACATTGATTTATTTTACCTTTTATAGGATGAAGCTACATTTAACTTGAAGAAAAGTGCTCGAAATTTGCTTAAAAGTCTTTGTAGTGTTTATATTTATGAACTAAAATGGCGGGAAAGCTGGTCAATTATTGTCACAAAACGTGGCCAGAAATACTTAGAGAAACATCATCACACAACAGACATATCAAACTGGGATGAGCCTGTCACTGCTCGTGCTACACTTCCTCTTATTCCTGCTGAACAATATTAATGTGCTTGCGATGACAGTGAAGAGTCAAAGCGAAGAAGAATGTTTTGTGATAAGATCAAAGGCTATGGAAGTGTATGCAGTTGAAAGCATCTTTTCGTTACATCCATGTAGGATTTGATTTCTTACTTAATTGAACGTACAGCGATGTGTTCAGTAATTTTGCACATTCACATTGTACATTAAATCCTTGAGAAAATATTCTGAGAATACTCTATGGAAAAAATTTTAGAAATAAAGATATCATTGTTATTGCAACTAATGTTAGAACGATATTAAGAACTGACAGAATATGTTCTTAAATGTTGTAGGCAATAATCCTGCTCCAATTGAAATTAAAACAACACCGTTAAAGTAAGAAAAAATTGCACAAAATTCCTGTTGCCGTGAATGCTAGTAACAGCCCATATTATCTTTATCGTGGCTTACGTTCAATGTTGTCAGCTCATGGAGCAAAGAAGGAGTTATTTACTGTATTTATTGATGGTTTCTTTGAAGAACCAGTTGCTGTGGCAAGGCTATATGATGTGAAAGTCGTACAGCATATTCCTATTTGCTGTAAGAACGCTAGAATATCACAGGTGGGTAAGGTTTTTTCTTTGAGAGTGTTTACACGATGTAATCAAAGTTCCATCGTTCCTTTTATTATTTTTTAAATGTATTTTCTCTCCCTCCCAGCACTACAAGCGAACACTGACAGAGACGTTTAATGCTTATTCCAATGCTCAGTAAATGGTTATTTTGGAAGAATATTTAGAAGTATCTTTGGACATATTTAGTTACCTTACTTAATTTTTGCCTTTAATGGATTTAGATGAATGTTTGTTCTGTATATCGGCGTGGAATGAGCAGGTTTGTTATAAACAAAAGCTTACAAAATGTAAAACATCATTCTGCTTCTACTACTTTTTACACTCGTTTTTTGCTATTTGTTTAATACACAACAAAGTTTCAATTCGTTTTTAACTAGATGAACGGGGTTTTGAATGTCTCCGATTTTTTTGCCTTTTCTGGATTCAAATTTATCTCTGACGAGAGTGTAGAATGTAAATTAAATAAATGTCAAAATGTTTTTCATATGATAATGGAAATGAAAATCTCTGTACAAGTATCTGTAATAAAAAGTTACCTTGAAAACTGAAGCAAACCCTCCTTTTTCCATTTGCAACACTTCAAATTCAATCCGAACTGTTGATTTTCTCGATACATAGCCGAAATATATAGGCATCGAATCAGGATACTCGTCTCCATCATAACAGCTATGTTGTTTTCTCCCTTGATCTTTTTCAGCGTCAAGCTCGTCTGAAGTGATGTTGCTTAAAGAGTGCGACATGAGATTTGATGAGATGAAAGGATGTCCGAGTAGCTGCTGTGCTAAACATGGGTTAAGGCTCTCCCGATATAGACATCTATACAAGGTTTTTGACATTCAAAGACAGTAGCCATAAATTATTCGTCTCTTTATTGCTTGTTTATCTCATGGTCTTCATTTTTTCAAGTGGAAGCTTTGAGTGAAAGTTTTCATGCATGCTAGCTATCTAATCATTATATTAACAAATACATATTCAAAGAAGGGTAACTTTCTTCTTGACACTGCGACTCAACGAAAAGGACTTAGAGGTCAAAAAGGAGCTTTGCAATGTATCCAAAGACCAAACCCTTTTTCCTTGCATCATACCCTAATGGCAAAAATTTGAGAAAATAGCAAATAATAAGTCTTTATATATATTTATTGAGCTAAACGAAAATTGTTCACATTTTTTTTTTACCTGTGAAAGAACGTAAACTAATTATTCCACAATCTCATGGAGCACCCCCATTCTCTGTTGGCACTTGTACTATACATCGTCAATAGCATTCCTTAGAGTACTCTTCTCACAATACCCCAACTGTATATACAAAGTTTGCAGAGTAAACTTTGAATTTTCTTGTAAATCTAATGTGGTGATTGCTTCCTGTTCACTTTCGAAATCAGATCACGTATACATCTACTCATTTTTATTTATTAAAATGTTGTACATCGAAAATGAATGTTTGTGCGATACGAAAAATTTATGGTCTTTAAATTGTTACTGTGTAATGTGATGTCGCAGTGGTGTTTCTGCACGATGATAAAGTGAAATATCTCAAGAAATAAAATAAAGTAAATCTATTTATGAAGATATTACCTCATTTCAATCAAATGCTCTATGTGCAATAAAATCGGAAACTACATGGTAAAATTTCGTTTCATAGCCGCTTTAAAGATTTTAATGCACTTAATGAATCCCCTTTAATTTTTTAGGAATGAAAACAGGTTTTACGTTCATTGGTTTATGTTTGGCATAAGGTGAAGCAGGTGATCCAACAATTAACACGTGATTATCCTTTAACCATAATCTCCACATACTTTTATGAAATCCTCGAGCATCTGAGTACCAGATTCGTAAACATCTCGCTATATTATTCCATGTTGTCCAGTCTTTAGCATGTTTCATTTCAATGTAAAATATATACGTTTTACCGGATGTCTCTGGAACAAAATCGTCCTTGTTCTTACAAGGATTTTTACTGTGATCCAACGGCTCAGCCAACCTACAATAAAACAGTACAACCCATTTGCAGATAAATAAAAATTGTTTGGTAACTGAACAATGGAAATGTCAATATATATTCTTGAAAATTCACCTGGTCAACCGTTCGATCTCATTTTCATAATTCTTGTTTGATAGCAAACTAACATTAAATTTAACGTTAGCGACATTATTTAAACTGCGTGTCTTGTAAAGAGATTCTTGAATGATAACATTTATATGCTGGCCTTTAGCGCCAAAATGGTACGTTCTTGAAATATCCGGAATTATACACTCACGTCCCTTCTTGATCCTGTCATTCCTCATCCATATATCCCAATCTATAAAATTATCAGGTTTGGGCCATTTTGGCTCAAGTTCATCTTTATAAAGACGTCGTTTTAGTAACCTGAGGATGGAAATAAATATTTTTTCCATGAGCATCGAATATCTTATTTAAGTAAAAAGAGAATTTTTCTCTCGTGTTAGCAAAATCATTGGTTGTAATAAAAATTCTCACCATCCTAAACCTGGCATTGTTTCTACACGATATAACATAGCAGGATCATTACACGTGTGATTGTAACCCTAAAAAATAGAAATAATTTCTTTATCGATCTATTTTGCGACACACAAGGAACTGAACCATATCAAACGCAATTATAATAACGAAAACTTAAGGGTAATTTAAGAGTTTCACTGCAGAAGAAGGTTTTGAGATCGAACATTTCTGCACCCTCGTGACAAAAAAAAACTGGACTAGACAAAAACAATGGGAGACTCTCAAATTAAACTATTTCATGGACATTATTTTGATGTTTTATTTACATTCTGCACCCTCGTCAGAGATAAAGTAGACTCGACAAAAAAAACAAAAAGAATCAGAGACGTTCAAAATCACGTTAATAAAGTTGAAAACGAACTGAAATTTTTTTGTGTAGCAAACACAAACCAACAAAAGAGTAAAAGACTAAAAAGAAGTAAAGAATGTTGTTAGCTTTGTTTATAATAAACCTGATCATTCCACGCCGATATGCAGTACAAACTTTCATCTGTATCCATTAAAGGCAACAATTGATTAAAATAAATAAATATGTCCACAGATACGTCTAAATCTTCTTCCAAAATAATCATATAACGAGCATTGGGATAAGCATTAAACGTCTCTGTCAGTGTTCGCTTGTAATGCTGGGAGGGAGAGAAAATAAATTTAAAAAAATAATAAAAAAAAGATAGAAATTTGATTACATCGTAAAAACACTCTCAAAGAAAAAGCCTTACCAACCTGTGATATTCTAGCGTTCTTACAACTTATAGGAATATGCTGTACGACTTTCACATCATATAGCCTTACCACAGCAGCTGGTTCTTCAAAGAAACCATCAATAAATACAGTAAATAACTCCTTCTTTGCTCCATGAGCAGACAACATTGAACGTAAGCCACGATGAAGATAATATGGCCTGTTACTAGCAATCACAGCAACAGGAATGTCTTGAATATTTTCTAACTTTAATGGTGTTGTTTTAATTTCAATTGGAGCAGGATTATTGCCTACAAAAGTTAAGAACATATTTTGTCAGTTCTTCATATCGTTCTAAAATTAGCTGCAATAACAGTGATATCTTAATTTCTAAAATTTTTTCCATGGAGTTTTCTCAGTATTATTTTTCGAAGGTTTAATGCAGAATGTGAATGTGTAAAATTACTGCACAAATCGCTGTACTTCCAATCAAATACGAAATCTAATCCTACATGGATGTAACGAAAAGATACTTACAACTGCATAAACTTCCATAGCCTTCGAACCTATCACAAAACGTTCTTCTTCGCTTTGACTCTTCACTGTCATCCCAAGCACATTGAGATTGTTTAGCAGGAACAAGGGGAACTGTAGCACGAGCAGTGACAGGCTCACCCCAGTTCGCTCTGTCTGCTGTGTGATGATGTTTCTCTGAGTAGTTCTGGCCACGTTTTGTGACGATAAATGACCAGCTATCCCGCCATTTTAGTTCATCAACATAAACACTACCAAAACTTTTAAGCAAATTTCGAGCAGTTTCCTTTAATTTAAATGTAGCTTCATCCTATAAAAGGTAAAATAAATCAATGTCTGCAAATGATGGCGATGTTAAAAGCAATTTCATCCTATTAGGCATAAAATATTTAAATATCTGATAAATATGGCGATTTTTGACCTCGTCTTTTCAAGGACACGATGCATTATTGTAGTTTATATAACATATTTACATATTTACACCTTTCATAATGTTTTTGTCAACCAAGACGAATATCTTAGTCCATTTGAGTAGAAGAAAAATAAATGTAAAACAACATTTTTGTGGAAAAGTTCAAGAATTTGACATAAGGTACTGATAAGCGACGTTTTGTGGTAATTTTAATTTAGCAAATTTACCTTTACTGCAAAACACATAATTCGTCCATCAGAAATCATATTTAAAAAAAGAACCAAGTTAGCACTCTCTTGTTTCGACCTAGATGTATCAAATACTTTCGTTGCCATCATTGCTCCTGTTGATTGATGAAGAACAGTGACATGGATACCTCTACTACGTGCAGCATTTGTATAGGTCTCTTCTTCCATAACCTTTTGTTGAATATACACTTTACTACAAGTTTGTTGGTATAGATCGTCTACGGTAGAGTCCTGAAGACTTTTGCCGTCGATGTTGACTGACGTTTTGACAACTTGGAGGTGTAGTCAACATCAACTTCAAAAGTCCTTCTCAAAAATTTACTAACTTGAACGATATTTATATAAAAATGTAACGGTGCTCCTGGGTTCAAACCCTATTTTAATCGCTCATTTATTTATAATTCTTATTTTTAACCATTCAATGATAAATATCTGTTAAAGACAACTTGAAATTGAATGTAATAATACCAACTTACAATTTTGAGAAAGGCATCGACAAATGTAGAAAGTAAATTCAGTATTATGTACCTTTGTTCCATTCACTAATACATATACATTATCTTTACTGGAGTGAACTTCAATGTTGATTATCTTACAACAATCTTCCTCATCTATATTAACAAAAAAATTTCTCTAAATCATTTTGTTGAATATTTTCAAAAATACTATGGGAGAGAAATGTGACTCTAAATAAAACAGGATCACCAATCTAATAAATAGGTTTAGAAAGAAGATGTAATAAGTTTATAAAAGGAGACTTTTTTGACACTCTCTTTTTTTTGCTTTACAAGTGCATTTGATGAAAAAATATATAAAAAGCAATTTGCGTTGATTGTGCAATGGACATTGAAGTTGTAACATAAAGACATATCGTTCATTTTCATATATTCAAAAATCTTTCTTTAATTTTTTCGTTTGTTCGGTGGATACTAAGTACTAACGTTATTGCGAATGATGAATAGGGTTTCGTGTAAAAAGCGAACTCAATAGTAGTATTCTTATTATTTAAATATAAATCTGCCGTAAACTCTTTTCACAAGGAGCCGCAATTTCTCCGCTACTTTTTGAGAAATATCCGTTCCTTGATTTTAAATAATCTAAAAACTGGATTGCTTTATTTATTGAGTTTGAAAAAGGCTTTATTGAAAGTCGGAAAGTCGGCTCTTTAAAATCTTCTTTATTGCTAAAAATGACAGATCTAAATTAAAATGAGTCACTGCACCTATTGGTGATAGAAATATTTCCAAATGCCTTAGAGACACCTTGATTGGTGAAATATTATTCTTTAGGAGATTCATAACAAATGATTTTGTTTATAAAGTATTTTAAATTTGAAACCTTAAGATGTAAAAGATGTTTTTTTTGTGTTTGCACAGAGTTATACGTACATACCAAATGTTTGAGGGAACTCGACAGTGGCGCAACTAGAATCATATATTCCGTTATGCCCCACTGATTTGATTGAAAGTAATTTGAATTTCAAACATATCAGTAGGACACAACTGAATATATAAATAAACCCTCCCCAATTAACTTTCTAGTTGCGCCACTGGAACTCGATTAAATATAACATCTGGATAGACCAAATAACAGCACAGTGAAAATAACGCAAAAAAAACTTAATGGCAACTGTGTAAAATTTTTTCTTCATTTTCTCCGTGATATGTTAGTTAGTTGGCCGGTGGTGAAATTAGAATAATTACATATTGCACTTAAAGTCTCAGTGGTGTAAAAACAAAATTTTTAAAAGGCTTCATTTCAACACAGATTACTTTTTATGTCTGTTATTTGAAACAACGTTACTCTACATTAGTTAATAACTCTATCTTACAATGATTAAACTACTTCTATTTGTACAAGATATTGCGTATGGATTTATCTGCTTCTTTACTAAATATGTTTAATTTAAATCAACGGAAAGCTATTAGGAAGTATAAAATATATTGTGACAATTATATTATAAGTATCTCTTAAATTAATCATTTAGTTACTTACACTTCACTTAATTCTTTACCACTTACAGGAAAAATATGAGAGCATATTTTAACAGTGAAAATATTGCATCTTCGCGTGGCAAACAGCGTATATCGAACATAACAATATCTAAGCAATTGTGAGCGACAAAATAATGCTTGTCAATATACTTACCCATATTAATGACTCTCTTCTCTTCAAACTGTCCATTCTTTGGAAGTCCGTATAGATCATTTCTGTGCTTGGGTTTAATGTTCATAACAAATACGACATTCACCATTATTGTTAAAATCAAAATGAACACGAGCAGCCATTTGAAACATTTCCTTATTGATCTCTTCAGGCAAAAATTCCAAGCTCGTGTAAAACAACGTATGTTAAATTTATGGGAAATATTTGTGGGATAAATCTGTTTAGCGTTCGGATTTGGCGTCCAAGACATAGTGGTTTACAGTACAAAATTTCCTGTGTTATGAGACACGTCAATGCAAGAATAATTCAAGCGCAGTGGGTGCAATATTAAAATATATTAACAGGCCTCCATTTCATTGGATAAAGCTGCTGTCGGGTTTATTGCCAGCCAGTTTTTTACCGATATCAATAAATTTCAATGAAAATAGGCACTCTTGACATCTGCTCCTCGTTTATCTTAAAGTCTCTTTGTTTAAAATGGTGAATTTAGTGAAAACAAAAAAAATTCCCCAAGATTTTAAATCTGAACGAAAGTATTCATTTAGGCAAACACTGAAATAGTTCAAAACAAAACGAAAGCAGCAAGTTTATCTAAATATGCCACACGTGTTGTGTCAATAATTGCTTAAAAAGACAGACAACCTGCCAATAATATTTGAACGAAAACTTGCGCGGTTTCTTCGACTTACCAATGGAGTTCAATTGAATGAACAGGATCTTCTTGCGCTGTTTTCGGAATAACGAGCTTGCTTGACTAAAAATTATTTGAAATAAATCATCTGAATATGTCAAGTTCACTTGATCATACGCAACATGTTGGAGAAATTGCTTCAGCTCATAATCATGGAAATTACCAACTGCATGAGCTTGCACCTGTTTTCAAAGATATTGGCTCACAGTCAAGTAATATGAGAAATATCATGTAAGCATGCGTAGTTGACTTGACCAACTCTTCGTAATTAACAGATTTATGGTAAAGTTTAGAACTAGTTTATGATCAAAAACATAAATGTTTAAGTATGAATTTGGCTGCATACAGTGGTTTGAAAACAAGAAAAGATGTTTTTAATGATTATTTGCGTTTTTTTGTTCATTTTTTGCAACTGAATAAAAAAATGTTTTTATTTGTGTAACTTGGCAAAACACATTGTTCTAACATCCAAAATATTATTTATAAAATTCTCTCATTACAAATAAAGAAAATATGCAAGTTTTTAATTACCTGAAGATGAAGGAGAAACACAACTTTTTTTAAAATTACATTTTCATTTAAAAAAATTCTGCGTTTGTTTGACGAACGAAAACATTTTTTAAGTTATATCTTTGTTTGAAACATTCCTTTAAACAGTAAAGTGTTACAAATTTCATCAGGAATAACATCTGTAGCTGTTTTTTTTTAATAGAATTTTTTTGAAGATCTCGTTAGCCACCAAAACCGTTTGTTTTAAAACACGTGAATAGAAATTGGTCAACGTTACATGAGGTATTGCAAAATTTTTCGGTGCAGAGTCATGGCAGTGTGCTGGGTTTTTGAGAGTTTTTGAAAAGATAAGCCACCTTTTAAAAGTGAACCAAAGTCAAAATTTGCACAAGAGAATGCGTTATTTGTTTACTAATTTACGCAAAAAAGAAAAAATGTCTTAAATTTTGCTTTCACCAAGTCAAATGGAAAAGAAATGGAGTGCAAACAATGACCATTTATCAACTTAGTGTTCGTCTATACTAAATAAATATTTCATGATCGTCTCTTGCTCCCAATGGCTGCTGTCATTCTTACACCTCCACTTCGAAAATGGGAACAAAGTCGAGTACGGATATTTTCGATATTATTAAAGTCACATTTTAACGGATGGAATAATAGTACAATAATGTTAATGTTTCCTTCACACTTGTAAGAGTTTCTTGAGGAATTCATTTACGCGGAGAACGCTATCTTTACATGATCGCCGATATTACTTTTTTAGTAGCAACTGGTGAAGAAGATATTTAGTAAATAGTTGGTTTGTCTGAATATTTGTCATCATAGTTTAAAGTGCTCAAGTCAAAGAAAATGTTGTCTATATTTACGTAATAAGATTTTCAGATAGTAGTGATAGTACAACAAGTACAATATGTCTTGGACGCCTAATCCGAACGCTAAACCATTTCACCGACAAATCCTTACTATACTTAAGGTTTAATCCCAAAGTAAGGTTATCAGAATATTACAATAACCCCCCTACCTTAAGTAAAATACTTCCACCCTCTTTAGTGGAAAAAAGAAACCCCTAATCATCCCTGGTAGACAACAATTGTCTATGAGACTCAGGGATTCTCTACTTAACTTTAAACAAAACAAGATATCAACGAACATTACCACGAACAGTCCTATCTCAGGACCACACGAACATGGACGATATACATGTACAAACACATAAAGGAAAATATATTCTTAATGATACATTCTAAAGGCCATGGTAATACAATTGATGTTGAAGTTCCTTCCAGTAAAGATAGTGTATATGTATCACTTGAGGGAACAAAGGTAAACACTCAGTCTGAACAAAGCAAGAAATTCTGTGTCTGTTCTTTCTATTTTTAAATTTCTAAGCATGTATGATAACCTTCTGCTAAAGATATCAGGAAGGCTTTAAGAAATATTTACCTTTAACAGCAAATAGAAACTTGTGAAAGAGAGAAATTGTTACTCAAAAGAGAAGGCAATAGTTACTTGTTAGAGAGAGCTTTATAATAGAGTGAATATTAAATTCAATACAAGTTTATGGAGGAGACTACTACAAATGATGCAGCTAGAGGTATCCATGTCACTGTTCTTCATCAATCAACTGGAGCAAAATGGCAACCGGGATATTTGATACATATATGTCAAAAGAGGAGAGCACTAGCTTGGTTCATTTTTTAAATATGGTTTCTGATGGACGAATTTTGTGCTTTGCAATTAAGGTAAGTTTGCCAAACGAGCTAACTTATAAAGATAGTTTATCATATGAGATTGTTCAGTTCTTTCCCTGTTTTAAATTCTATTTTTATTCATCTTAGATATAACGAACTATACAGTATAGTAACAAGATACTGTATATTATTATGCCATTTGCGAAGTTTGTTTTACTAATTCAAACAGATTTTTATGAAATATGTAAATTTGAAATGTTACTGAACATTACATTATACGTAGCTACAACGAACATCTGACGTCATCGAAACACGTCAACAGACTTCAATGTGAAACATCGCCATAATTAGCAGACATTGATTTATTTTACCTTTTATAGGATGAAGCTACATTTAACTTGAAGAAAAGTGCTCGAAATTTGCTTAAAAGTCTTTGTAGTGTTTATATTTATGAACTAAAATGGCGGGAAAGCTGGTCAATTATTGTCACAAAACGTGGCCAGAAATACTTAGAGAAACATCATCACACAACAGACATATCAAACTGGGATGAGCCTGTCACTGCTCGTGCTACACTTCCTCTTATTCCTGCTGAACAATATTAATGTGCTTGCGATGACAGTGAAGAGTCAAAGCGAAGAAGAATGTTTTGTGATAAGATCAAAGGCTATGGAAGTGTATGCAGTTGAAAGCATCTTTTCGTTACATCCATGTAGGATTTGATTTCTTACTTAATTGAACGTACAGCGATGTGTTCAGTAATTTTGCACATTCACATTGTACATTAAATCCTTGAGAAAATATTCTGAGAATACTCTATGGAAAAAATTTTAGAAATAAAGATATCATTGTTATTGCAACTAATGTTAGAACGATATTAAGAACTGACAGAATATGTTCTTAAATGTTGTAGGCAATAATCCTGCTCCAATTGAAATTAAAACAACACCGTTAAAGTAAGAAAAAATTGCACAAAATTCCTGTTGCCGTGAATGCTAGTAACAGCCCATATTATCTTTATCGTGGCTTACGTTCAATGTTGTCAGCTCATGGAGCAAAGAAGGAGTTATTTACTGTATTTATTGATGGTTTCTTTGAAGAACCAGTTGCTGTGGCAAGGCTATATGATGTGAAAGTCGTACAGCATATTCCTATTTGCTGTAAGAACGCTAGAATATCACAGGTGGGTAAGGTTTTTTCTTTGAGAGTGTTTACACGATGTAATCAAAGTTCCATCGTTCCTTTTATTATTTTTTAAATGTATTTTCTCTCCCTCCCAGCACTACAAGCGAACACTGACAGAGACGTTTAATGCTTATTCCAATGCTCAGTAAATGGTTATTTTGGAAGAATATTTAGAAGTATCTTTGGACATATTTAGTTACCTTACTTAATTTTTGCCTTTAATGGATTTAGATGAATGTTTGTTCTGTATATCGGCGTGGAATGAGCAGGTTTGTTATAAACAAAAGCTTACAAAATGTAAAACATCATTCTGCTTCTACTACTTTTTACACTCGTTTTTTGCTATTTGTTTAATACACAACAAAGTTTCAATTCGTTTTAACTAGATGAACGGGGTTTTGAATGTCTCCGATTTTTTTGCCTTTTCTGGATTCAAATTTATCTCTGACGAGAGTGTAGAATGTAAATTAAATAAATGTCAAAATGTTTTTCATATGATAATGGAAATGAAAATCTCTGTACAAGTATCTGTAATAAAAAGTTACCTTGAAAACTGAAGCAAACCCTCCTTTTTCCATTTGCAACACTTCAAATTCAATCCGAACTGTTGATTTTCTCGATACATAGCCGAAATATATAGGCATCGAATCAGGATACTCGTCTCCATCATAACAGCTATGTTGTTTTCTCCCTTGATCTTTTTCAGCGTCAAGCTCGTCTGAAGTGATGTTGCTTAAAGAGTGCGACATGAGATTTGATGAGATGAAAGGATGTCCGAGTAGCTGCTGTGCTAAACATGGGTTAAGGCTCCCGATATAGACATCTATACAAGGTTTTTGACATTCAAAGACAGTAGCCATAAATTATTCGTCTCTTTATTGCTTGTTTATCTCATGGTCTTCATTTTTTCAAGTGGAAGCTTTGAGTGAAAGTTTTCATGCATGCTAGCTATCTAATCATTATATTAACAAATACATATTCAAAGAAGGGTAACTTTCTTCTTGACACTGCGACTCAACGAAAAGGACTTAGAGGTCAAAAAGGAGCTTTGCAATGTATCCAAAGACCAAACCCTTTTTCCTTGCATCATACCCTAATGGCAAAAATTTGAGAAAATAGCAAATAATAAGTCTTTATATATATTTATTGAGCTAAACGAAAATTGTTCACATTTTTTTTTTACCTGTGAAAGAACGTAAACTAATTATTCCACAATCTCGGAGCACCCCCATTCTCTGTTGGCACTTGTACTATACATCGTCAATAGCATTCCTTAGAGTACTCTTCTCACAATACCCCAACTGTATATACAAAGTTTGCAGAGTAAACTTTGAATTTTCTTGTAAATCTAATGTGGTGATTGCTTCCTGTTCACTTTCGAAATCAGATCACGTATACATCTACTCATTTTTATTTATTAAAATGTTGTACATCGAAAATGAATGTTTGTGCGATACGAAAAATTTATGGTCTTTAAATTGTTACTGTGTAATGTGATGTCGCAGTGGTGTTTCTGCACGATGATAAAGTGAAATATCTCAAGAAATAAAATAAAGTAAATCTATTTATGAAGATATTACCTCATTTCAATCAAATGCTCTATGTGCAATAAAATCGGAAACTACATGGTAAAATTTCGTTTCATAGCCGCTTTAAAGATTTTAATGCACTTAATGAATCCCCTTTAATTTTTTAGGAATGAAAACAGGTTTTACGTTCATTGGTTTATGTTTGGCATAAGGTGAAGCAGGTGATCCAACAATTAACACGTGATTATCCTTTAACCATAATCTCCACATACTTTTATGAAATCCTCGAGCATCTGAGTACCAGATTCGTAAACATCTCGCTATATTATTCCATGTTGTCCAGTCTTTAGCATGTTTCATTTCAATGTAAAATATATACGTTTTACCGGATGTCTCTGGAACAAAATCGTCCTTGTTCTTACAAGGATTTTTACTGTGATCCAACGGCTCAGCCAACCTACAATAAAACAGTACAACCCATTTGCAGATAAATAAAAATTGTTTGGTAACTGAACAATGGAAATGTCAATATATATTCTTGAAAATTCACCTGGTCAACCGTTCGATCTCATTTTCATAATTCTTGTTTGATAGCAAACTAACATTAAATTTAACGTTAGCGACATTATTTAAACTGCGTGTCTTGTAAAGAGATTCTTGAATGATAACATTTATATGCTGGCCTTTAGCGCCAAAATGGTACGTTCTTGAAATATCCGGAATTATACACTCACGTCCCTTCTTGATCCTGTCATTCCTCATCCATATATCCCAATCTATAAAATTATCAGGTTTGGGCCATTTTGGCTCAAGTTCATCTTTATAAAGACGTCGTTTTAGTAACCTGAGGATGGAAATAAATATTTTTTCCATGAGCATCGAATATCTTATTTAAGTAAAAAGAGAATTTTTCTCTCGTGTTAGCAAAATCATTGGTTGTAATAAAAATTCTCACCATCCTAAACCTGGCATTGTTTCTACACGATATAACATAGCAGGATCATTACACGTGTGATTGTAACCCTAAAAAATAGAAATAATTTCTTTATCGATTTATTTTGCGACACACAAGGAACTGAACCATATCAAACGCAATTATAATAACGAAAACTTAAGGGTAATTTAAGAGTTTCACTGCAGAAGAAGGTTTTGAGATCGAACATTTCTGCACCCTCGTGACAAAAAAAAAACTGGACTAGACAAAAACAATGGGAGACTCTCAAATTAAACTATTTCATGGACATTATTTTGATGTTTTATTTACATTCTGCACCCTCGTCAGAGATAAAGTAGACTCGACAAAAAAACAAAAAGAATCAGAGACGTTCAAAATCACGTTAATAAAGTTGAAAACGAACTGACATTTTTTTTGTGTAGCAAACACAAACCAACAATAGAGTAAAAGACTAAAAAGAAGAAAAGAATGTTGTTAGCTTTGTTTGTCGTACCTAAAAGCAAGTAGCATAACCCAAAAAGAAAGTTTTACAAATATTTGATGTATTACATGAAAAATGAAAAACTACAGCAAAAAAGACGAATCATTCCCTAAATTCACCTAGATTTTCCTTATAATCCTAACTTTTTCAATTTTTTTTTAAATTTAGATGTACAACAAAAGCTGCAATCTGCAACAGCGTGAGTACTTCGTAGCTATATTATATTATATCGATGAACTTGACTTATAATTCATTCAATTCATCTAAGCCCTCAACAAAAGTTACGATTTGGTATTCTCCAATGCTCATGTTGAGAACTTGATTCTTCTCGATAATGTGATGCCTAATATATCAGAGATGACATTGGTATTTTGGATAAACACAGTTACAAGTCGAAAAATGGCACTCTTTTCTTATGCTGTTCAGAACAGTCCTGATGAATTTTTTGTGGGATTTGACAAAGAACGGGTCATCATTACAATAAAATCGTTGAGAAAAGAGTAAGAAAAATTATTTTTAATGGTTAAAAGATAGGGTTCAAACTTCATCAATCTGCTAAATTTTGAATTTTGAATTACTATCTAAATATTTGTATGCTTTTGGTAAAGACATTTTTAGATGCACAATAGACTTGTATTCGAATTTAGCGTTTATACATTCAGGGGCGGATCTAGAGTATGTCAAATCCGTCGCGCGACTGATGTTTGAAATTCAAAAATTAACTATTCATAATAGTTAAAAATTCATTAATTATTCTTACTTTATAATCGCATTTACTTCGTGATAAAAATCCAGCTTTATTTATTATTGAAAACTAATGACTAATCCAATGAATATCTCGTTGGTAATCAGATCAGTTGAATTTTAATTGACCTGGAATAACCGACTGATAAGCGGGGAGGCTTGACTAGTTCGAATGATAAAGGAGTCTATGAACGCCAAAAACGCTTATTTTATTGGTCAATGGCCTGACCATTGTATCTTCTGGAATGGTCTCGACCGATAAGTGGGGTGGCCGGACGTATAAGGGAGTTCAATTGCTATCTTACAATTGGTTCATTTGAATTTTTGTTTTATTGTGATTGGTTTGACCGATTTCAACTGATAGCCAACTGAACTAACATAGTCAAGCTCACTGTCTGAATTGAATGTTTGATCGTTTCATAGTACATTTTATAAGCATGATAGAAACTAAACTACAATAAGATGAAATTTATGGAAATGTTTTACAAATTCATATATTGACATGAATGCTGCTGTCTAATGTGTCAGATTTGAAACAGATTGTTGTTTGAAAAAAAATGCTGGAGAAGTAGAATAGGAATATGTTTGATTTCCTAAATTAGAATAAAGTAATAAATGCATGGGAGCTTTATTAAGTTATTATTAACGAAGATAACAAAAAAAACCCAGTTAAAATAATAAGAAATAACCATTTTTCACAAAATTTAAAATTAAAAATGTTGCATGCTGATAGAAAATTTAATAAAATCTTAATGGGATGTTTTTATGGATGCTAATATTTAACTAAACTCATGTTATCGCATTTTTAATCAAACGGTTTTGTCTATTTCAAGATCATCATGTTTTTAGTGTATTCATGTCGTATAGCAACATTACACATGTTATGTGCACCCCATATTAAAAATATAGTATGCATATTGTAATACGAGTTTACTTCCTAAATGATAATAACCACTAAAATCACCTATAGTCTTTTGGTTTTCGTTTGAACAAAAATGTACGAAACCATGGCGCATGCTATAAACATGTAAAACAAGCAACGTTGAAATGTGCTATCTGCTATTTTTTAAGCACTTAATGACATTAAAAATGAATGACGTTGCAAGACCTGCGTACATCAAAAATTTTGAATTGCCATTAGCTTTTTCAACTTTGTTGATAACATTTTTCTATAAATCATTTTACAATCATTCGTTAATAATATTTTTTTCTTTATACCAACCAATGCTAATATTTGTGTGGTATTTCTTATTTGAATTTTTCTTATTTGATAGAAACCTTCACATTTATCCAATCTACGATGGTTATTGGCACCACCTGGTCTTCATCCTCCCTCTGACGACTGAGAGTATTTTTATTGATGGGGCTATGATTTTAAACGAAACTATGGTCAATAATTCATTACTTTTACTACGCAGTGGAGGTGTTGTCGCTATTGGTCAAAAACTTCATTGCGAGAATGCTGTTTTTGATCCAAATATTTCGTTTGTTGGTAAAATAAATAATTTAAATTTATGGAACTATGACGTGACACGCAGCACATCATGTACCATCAAGGGGCTAGAAAATGAATGTAGTATAGAGCCACATAAACAAATAATTCAGTGGAGAGATCTTGACATTTTTTCGAGAGTAAATGTTTCAAGATTGTTAACTAATGGTAAGTAATGATTGTTTCAATAATTTCTAAATGTGAAGCGTCAAATACAAAATAGTAATAAACAAGAGGATTTCTGTGCTTTTATTGCAACTAAACAAAAGACTTCTTAGTCACATACTTTTTTTTATCAAATTTCTAAGTTGAATATCAAAAGCATTATTTGAATATTTTCCTCAAAAGCGAAAGAAATTATTTTAAAATTTAAAAGGCATGAAAAAATGGAAAATTTAAATAACATTAAATATACTATACAATAAATTGAAAAACGACAAAAAAATTTGCGCCATATTCAAAAGAAATAACATATAAAATCAGAGAATAAAGTAAATGCGATATGTAAAAAGTGTTTAACATTTATACATAGAGCATGCTGTGTCGCTCTGATCAGTGCATTGTTGCTGCAAAGTGCAAGCTAATTGGTCTTTATAGCAAAAAAACGATCATTTGTTCTTTGCAAAATGTGCGCTATTGGTATTACTTAAGGCTGATTTCCACTTAGTGGAAAATTTTGCGCGGTCGACTGTTACAGTACAGTGTTCGAAATACGCATGAGCATTACAAAGACTTGATGAGCGCCCAATCGCTAAAAAAGTAGATAAACTACTTTTCCGTTAGCCAAAGTCAAATTTATATAGTTTCAAGTAAACAAATATGGCGGACGTCAGCAGGAGTGATCAAAATTTCAAGTGGACGACGAAGAAGAGTTTCAAGCAAGCATTGATTTAACATTTACACCAATTGCAAAAAGCCTTTTCACTTATCAAACAAACAAAGTCTACAATATGGAAATGCTTATAGATTTAGGCAAAGAACAACGATTTTTATGGAATAAAGCCTCCCGATCTTAAAAAAATCAAAGAAAAAAAAGAATGCCTGGGCTAATATGGCTTGTCTGTTGTAAAAAGACAGTGAGTAATGTTTTCATATTTTCCAAATGTAAATGAAAAGTTACTGTTTTAAATGAAATTTACATGGAAACAATCAAACGTCTTTAAGCATTTTACTTACTAAAGACTTTCTTATTGTATATTAAAAAATTTGATTAAAGGAACTCAGATGCCAAAAGTATATTGCCAATTCCTTTATATAAATATGTTTTCTACCCTTCCCAACATTTCTCTTCTTTCTTCTCCTTTATGGACAAAATTCTCCCAAAACCTCTGACATTTAATGTAGTCTATTCATTTAAGTGTCGAAGTTAAACGCCTCATATGTGGGTCAAACCACACGTCATCTACACACCAGATTTTCTGGAGCACTTAGTAATATCCCCCGTCCCCCTTCCCCCTTACTGGCAACCATGTGTCCTGCCCTGCGTTATCGATACCGGCCCTCGTAGAGTTCTATGCCACCATCATTGTTGTTGTTTAAACTATTATTTGTTTCTGTCTCAACTGTGGTTACCACTCCTACATCATTCTTTCCCTCGGTACATTCTCTTTCGAAATACAGTTTTAACATATTTACACGACAAAGTTGTTTTACCTTGTGTCTATCAGGGGTGACTGTTACATAATTGTATTCATTCTCTTTCGTTTCAATAAGATAAGGGCCTGAGTAACGCGCTTGGAGAGCGTTCCCAGAAACAGGAAGTAATGCGAGAACCTTATCTCCCGGTTGAAAAGTACGACTGGTAGAAATCTTGTCGTATTGGCGTTTCATGCATTTTTGAGCTGACATAAGGTTATCTTTTGCTAAATCCCATGCTTTTTGACAGTTTAGTTCGAAACTTAGAAACATATTCTGAGACATTCAATGATTCACCACCGTCATCAAGTAACTCATCCTTTAAAATACTAAGTGGTCCTCTTACAATGTGACCGAAAACAAGCTCGAAAGGACTAAACACTAAGGATTCTTGTATTGACGATCTAGCTGCAAACAAAAGAAAATGAACGCCGTCGTCTCAATCTTTTTCAATCTCAAAACAGTATGTGCGTATCATATTTTTTAATGTTTGATGAAATCGCTCAAGTGCACCTTGGCTCTTTGGATGATATGCAGTGGACTTGTATTGTTTGATGTTTAACGCATGCATTACCTCTTGGAAAATTGTTGACATAAAATTTGATCCCTGATCCGACTGAATAGACTTTGGCAGAACAACTAGCGTAAAATATTTTGTTAATGCTTGAAATAATGGTCTTCGTTTTTATGTTTCGTAATAGTATAGCTTCTGGGAATCGAGTGGAATCGCAAATGATAGTAAGTAAGTATTGATTTCCCATTTTAGTTTTTGGTAGTGGACCAATGCAATCAATTAAAACACGGCTGAATGGTTGTTCAAAGGCTGGTATTTCACAACGGAAGTTAATAGAACCGGAAATTAGACAAAAGCAATAGCAGAGAGTGCGCTTCGGGAACTTTTTTCAAAATGTTTTGCTGTAAATGTGGTACTGAGACCCCAGAATTTTCAAATTTTTGTTGGAAATGTAAAAACCCCATGAAAGACAAAACAACAGAAGCATCCAGCAAAAAGTTAACTATGCTATGGAGCATAGTTAAATTTTCAAAACAAAGTTAAATATGGCGGCTTAGCTTCTCCAAGAAAATTATGGGAGAGATATTGTTAATCAACAAGTTTTTACCTTGAGTTTTTAATCACATATGTATCTTCCATGGCAAAGGCTTTTAGAATAAGATCTTTATGGACGGTGTATTTCATTCGTCAGTGCTGTAAACATTCCAAGTTTTGCAGACGAAAAACAGCCAACAACTTATTTGCGTAACAAACCCCTTTTTACACAAGAGCAATTACATAATTGCATTTTGTGTTGTCTTTTTTGCATACGGTAGCTCTTTCAACTCATAAGCAACACTACCAATTGAGATAGAGTCACTTCTTTAAAATTAATGCACATAACTTGCTGAAATTGTCTTACAACCACGTACAATTCTTTCCATGACAAAAAAGAGAAAGAATGTTTATCGAGCAATAATACCAATAGCCTTGGATTTATCAAATATTTAAATTGCGGGCTTTTCCCTATGCATTTTGCTTAATTTGAATATCCTATGCATCATATAAAGTCGTTGCTCTATGTAAAATGAGCTAGATTATGTTAAAACAAAGAGGTACTACAGAATAAATGTTGTTCTAAGTATACCAATGATAATACATATAGATACATGAGCTTTACAACAGTTTTTATTCATGACTACTCTTTTGTGTATCAGCTGCATGAGATACGATGATTTTAGTTTTTTAAATACATAAAACATTTCATTAGCATGCATGGTGAAGGTCCATGTTGCATGATATATATACACTATAAATTGCACATGGTTTATTACACAAGCAGAAAATATACATTACAGACATCTAATGGGTTTTATTGATATTTAATAAGAATTTCCTGTGTAAAAATGTTTATTTGTAATGTACATGCAATCGTGCCTGCCAATACTTTTCTAAGAAGCAGAAAGCTCTAGCTACTGTTTGATAATTTAAAAAGTAGAAAAAAAATGAATAAAACTCCCAAGCTTTAGAGAAAAATAGGTTAATAAATCACAAAGGCAAAAATAAAGTTTCATACCTAAGGCTCATTCAACAAATATACGCAATAGCTTTTATAACTCATTTTTTTGCAAGGCATAATTAAGAACAAATATGTATTTTGTGTATAGCTGAGAATATATTATGTCACACAAGCAGAAAAAAGACAGTTGCTGGATTACATGGCTACTAACTATGCTGACTCAAAGAAATGTTTTCTAAGAATAAAAAAGTCCGTCGCTGTCATCTTTTACAAATATGTGTGACTTATGTCTGTACAAACACATTTCTTTCAAGCATTTTACTTAGCTGCTATAAAGAGAAACGAAACGACCTTTAACTTTGGTACCCTCAATCTCTCAGTTTTAAATTCTGTGAAAGCAAGGCCATTCAAATATTTATATCCTTGAACAAAGAACACAATATAAATCAATTGGAGAAGAGTTCAGTGTTTCGTTTGCCCAAGTCCATTATATATAATTGGTTCATGAAAGAAAGCAGTCCTTGCAGAGACTCATATTCATCAACATCGTACTGTACTACACAGAAGATAAGGGTCGAGTTTATGAGAAAAATTCAAAGTATATGCTACAATTTGATCCAGTTACCATGTCACCGTTAGGTTATGTCACTGATATGCTACAATTTGATCCCATTATCATGTCACTAGGTTACCACGAGTCACGTTTAACAAATTTTCTTTTTGCACCATCAACATCCGTAAAAATGACAATAGTTTGCCATATTTTAAGATTTTTACCAAAGCCAAGACATTTTTCTTGATTTTAAAGTCATTTTAAAGTTCACTTGCCCGCCATTACAAAGCATAAATTGATTAAACTTTATGTCATTTAACGAGAACAACACTCCACGCAATTTCCACGCAAGTTAACTACGCAGTTACTTAACTATCCGACAAACTAAGTTTTGTGCAACGCAGTTAAGTCAAGAAGCTAAGTAACTACAGTTAAGGAGTTAACTACGGTAGTTAGCGTTAACTATAGTTAAAGTTAAATACGTTTTTATACAATCGGCCCATGGACTATTATTATTAATTGAGTTATAAAAGTCCACAGAAAATCTATAACTATAGTTTTTTGGTGGCCTTTTCATTTTCTATGTGCACAGTAGCTAATAATTTTAAAAAAATAAGTTCCATGCAAACTATTTACTTTGCCAAGATTTTATGTAGTAAAATTAACAAGACTCCAAGTTTATACAGTAAATTTTCTAATATATTTTTGTAGATATATCGGAGGATCTTTTTGACTTTCTTATAGATTGTCATGTATGTAAGCAAGTTTAAAAATTCACTTATTGATGGTGCTCTCATTGTTTTACTTTTATTTTGAAAAAAGCAAGATTTTCATTAAAAAATTAGCTTTAAGTGCATGCATATTAATAAGGATGATTATGAGGAGAAGAAGATTGTTTTCTTTACAACAAAATCAAAGAAAGTATACGTGAATAATATATCAGTTTGTTTGAATAAAGAATATAACAGAACTTTTCATTTTAGGCGTTCGTAAACCACAGTCTTGCATAAACGCAGGTTGGCAGAAATCATTTAACGAAAAAAGATGGTCAACTTGTGTGTCCAACAACAAACCTATAACTGGTTTTCGGCGCAGCCAGTTCAACAATACAAACGATGATGGCATTCAAAAACTCCAAAAAGCTAAGTGTTGTTCGTCAAATAATAAATATAAAGGGCAAAGTAGCATATGTCAAAATGTTAGCTGGCAAACGTCTTTAACTAGGTGAGTATATTTGATAGAATGAACCAATTAGCACTTTGAGGAGGGTTTAAAAAGTAATTAAAAATGTTAAGCAAAAAAATACTACATCTAATTTTGCCATTTATAAAATTTCGTAAGTTATACAGTGTCTTTTCTAAAGATTGTTTTGCTATTATTGTGATAAAATATTTGATAATTAGTCAGCATTTGATGAAGAAAACAAAGCCTTCCCTAAATAGCAAAAGTAGTTTATTTATTTGTTGGGTTCTGTAGCTACTTATGAACTAAAAAGTCTGACAGGTATATTTTTTATGTAATTTAACCAAGTTGTTACACCGTAAAGTTTCAATTATCCAAGACACAGTAAGACATAGTTTGTTCTATGTCGTTTTAAGACTTTTATAGAATATTTGAACGAATGGTGTTGATAAATTCTATTTTGTTTTGATTTCAATATTGTATTTTAGAAATGACACTTGGGGTGTTTGCTCTTATGGTTAATTTTTAAATGGTCTCTTTCACACACAAGGCAGTAACTTACACAATATTGAGAAAGGAAAATGTTGCAAACCAATCAATCATCCAGACAAGTATGGTGGTTGTTACTATGAAAACATCAGTGAAAACTTTAACAAAAAAGGATGGGCAATATGCAAAAAAGCTGGTTATTACATAACAGGATTATTCAGAAGTCCAGGAGGTGACTGGCTACACAACATTGACAAATTAAAATGCTGCCAAATGGTTGAAGATATATAATTTTTCTTGCTGACAAAAATTTTTATACCAAATATTTAGTTTACATAGATGATTAACCCCCTTAATTATTGATTACGTCATGACCGTTATAAAAAATACTAGTTTTCAACAATTTTTCGCACCGCGTGTCAAGTGTGTCTAATGACACCGAATCACGTATTGCACTTTTGCATAAGGCGATATCGCATTACAGAGATCGAATAAATCAAAGAACTTTAATACTATGAGAAAGGCACCAACATATTATTCAAACGTAGGTAAGTTTATATTTTTTTATATTACACAGAATTATTTCAACACAATCCTCATAAAACACAAAAATTTTTTGTCGTAAATAGCCAAATAATAATGTCGACGAGGAGCTACATGATACAATATCAATAACAGATTATAATGTGTGAAATTTTAAACGATCTATGTATTTAGCAGCATTGCTTTGAAGTTGACCTAGTACTTAACCATAAACGAGCCTGCGATTTTAAAAAAGAGCATTTGTGACATCGTCGGCAGTTGGAATATTGCACAATTTTCAATCTTCTGACACAGTGGATAGGATGTTAAGCCAATCACAGCTCAAGTATTTTACGCGAGTGACACCTTGAGACCTGGATCTACAGTATAGCTAGAGTTTTCTTGCGCAATGACTGTGGCAACGCAGCAGATAGACAGTAGTAAGAAAAGACCTTGCCAAAATCTATAATATTATTTCATATAATATCTACAATACTCTCATACTAGGCCGCACTCTGTGGCACAAAAAGTCTCTTAGAAAACGATTTTTTTGCTCCCGATCGTACACTACATTTTAACACGATAGATAAGTTGACATATCATAGAATGTGATCATTCACTTGTTTGTACCTTCAAAGACCCGCAGTTTTGAGTATTTCACCATTGAAATATCAACAATTTGAAATATCATTCCACTGTAGCTTTTTAGAAATTTATAAATTTTAAGTCAGCTTAATGGCAAGTTTATTTATATTACCTAAGCTCATTTGGTAAATGCTTTCTTGTATTATATTAAGACTAAGACTAGATATTTGATCAAAAAAATTATCTTTACTAACTTTAAAAGGTTAGGAAAATTGTAATTCGGATGGCATTTTGATTACACTTCGATTACTTTAACTTTGCGTATAAAATATTCCTCAGCTTAAATATTTATGCAAGGCCTCAAAAATTAAACAAACAAAACTTCTAAACTTCAACTCACCAAATGTAAGTATTTGTTATCATACCTGACTGTTAAACTTAGGCTAAATACTCTTTTGCCATCATATACATTATTTTTTCATCCCCAACGAATGACATTCGATATTATGGATTTAGCCATAGGCCAGATCACACAAAAGAAATTACGGTGGCTGTTGTTTTTGTAAAGATGACTATTCCAAAATCTATGGTAGCAATGCGTGCTTATGCCTACCAGAAGGGAAAAAATGTAAATTTAACTTTATGAATATCATTAATACAAAAACAACTCAGAGCAAATAAGGAAGTTATATACAACGTGAGATATATATTATACAAAACTATCACATAAGTTAGGGTATAGATATAACCTAATTATTAAAAAAATTTAGCGATTAGTTACGGAATGTGTGTTCTGCGTTTTGATGAGAAAATAAGGAAGTTAATGTTTGAAAATAGCGCAAACAACTGCACTTGTTTGTTCAAGTCACCTTCGAATTTGCGTACGTTGAGTACTTTCTTAGCTTTGAGAGGCATTAGAAAATTTGCAGTATCATTTTTGTACGTTGCTAGCATGCTAAAATTCTAGGCTATCTCTTCTCCTAATGTCATCTTTTTTCCATAAAAATGTGTTTTAAAAATGTACTTTTCGTTGAATTAGTAGTTTCTTGCAGGTCCACGACTGGCAAGCAAGTTTGATTGTGACAATACACATCAAGATGGAATATATTTCAACTCTTCCAAGCAATTCAATGCATTTTGAATATCATTTTGGATCACAATGTCTGATGATCCTTATTACCAGACCCGAAGAGCATCGATGATATCTTATGCATTAAAAAAAAAATGGCAAACTCTATCATAACGCTCCGCTGTTTCATATCTTAAACAAGAAATTATCTGTGGTTATTTTTCACTCAGATTTTAGGTAAACAGAAATTACATTTTACCTAAAGTTTAATTGATTCTTTAAAAATTACTTAAAGATGCAGAAGGAAATGGAAATGGGCCTTTTCAATTTTTATGAGTCATTTGACAGCTTTTGACATTTTCTAAACCAAATTTTTCTACACTTTTTAGAACTGACATTAGTGATATATTTGATGGAAAAGAACATCATATTATGATCCCGTGGCAAAAGGTTAATGGACAAATGATCATTTACAAAGACGGCGAACACAAATTTTCAAAAATAGTTGCAAAAGGTCAAACTCTAATAGCAGGAGGAGTATTGGTGGTTGGACAGGATCAAGACACTTTTGGTTGAGGATTTCGTATTCATGACAGTTTTAAAGGAATTATAGATGCTGTATACATATGGAACAAAATTTTGTCGATTGATGAGATAAAGCTACTGGCAAAAAACTGCAATGCATATTTAAGTGGATACAGTATTGGTTACCATGACTTTGAATTTACTAATATAATTTTTTTTATCGAGCCAACTTGCTCCACATAATCATCACAGCTTTATTCCGTTTCTTTTCTGATATACTATACAATTTAGAGATTTCTACAGGTTTAACTTACTTTTAATAAATTTTTATGTTAAGTTAACATATAACGATAGCTTTATGATGTAAGTAGGTTGAATTTACCGTTTTAATCGCATTATAAAGAGTCCTTGCTATATTAATGTTTCTTGTGAAGTTTGCTACAAAAATCATAATAATTCATGATAATGTATGAAACGAGATATTTATACAAAACTACGTCACCACTATTCTTATGTTGTTAACAAATAGGATAAACGATACTGGAATTTAAAAGGCCGTTAATTTTTTTTAATTAGGATGAATGTATATAATACACATTACTATTGGTCTGAACTTGCAGGAGATTGATAATCTGTCAAGATAGTGACGTTAATTGACACTCGTACTGTTGTAGCTACAACAGATCTCATTCCGATCATTAAGTGCAATGATTGACTGACAAAGAGTAGAAAACCTTTGATCTCGTTCAATTGAATGAAGTAAAGAAATGTAATGCACACGCTTAGTTTATAAGAGTTGTGTATAATACCCCAGCTAAGAGTTTATTAATCGGATTTTTGACCATCATGTTTCATTAAACGAGTAAAAATTAAAGGTGGCGAGAAACTTGTAATAACCCTTAAACATAAAAAATGTCCAAACGCCAAGCCGCTTGGAGTTGAGAAAACTAAGCTACCGTTCGTTTTTGAAAAAAACAAAGGGAATATTTTCTATAAAAATTTACTTTCAAGATTATACATCAGTAAAATCGATGAACGCCTGAAATCAAGCCTTAATGAAATCAAAAGCTCACTTAAATCTTTAAATCACACTATTCAGAGTTGGGACTTCAGACCAGTTTCCCTAACATCCAATAAATGACTGTTGCAATCAATTAGCAATCTAATTGATAATAAGCAATTTTTTTGGATTAAATGACATAATTCTTAATTTGTGCTCATTTATATTTTTTATAAATGGTATAAATATATGAACACACCAGACACCTTAATTCTAAATTGGCACTCATTCACATGTTCCATAAATGATGTGAATATTTGAACACACCAGGCACCCTATTTCTAAAATTGTACTCATTTATATGTTCAATGAATGGAGTGAATATTTGGGCACACTCGGTACCTGCACGCTTAAATGTTCTTTAGACGATTCTAAAGCTTTCGACAAAATTGCATGATCAAAATAATGTGATGCAAAGCCACAAATCTTAAAAATCTACCAAGCTCTGATTAATTTGACTGCAAATTTTCTCACAAACTGAAGATAACGCACGTAAACTGGGACCAGCTTTTCGTGTTTAGGCGAAGTCGTTGGGCGTTTCCAAAAAAACCAAACTAAGCCAACGTTATTTAAAATGATGGAAAATGATCTTGATATTTAGGAAGAAATAGTTAAATTTTTCGACGACACTATATCATGGGATATATTTTAGAAAGCAAAAACCAGAAACAGGTCTTTCAATAAATTTTGCGAGTGCTCTAACTGGGCATTAAAAAACTCTATGAAATTTAATCCTCCTAAAACCAAAAAATTCAAACATGTTTTTCAAACACTGAATCTCCTTCCCAATCCACCATTGTTGTTGACAAATATGATGTTTGCAAAGGTAAGCCATCTGTCAAACTTATTTTAGTTTGCTGCATTAAGTTTCTCGTACGCAGAACAGGCTAGTAATCAAGACCTGGGACTGGATTAACGAGTTAAGCATGTATTACGTGCGTGGTCCCGAAAGAATAACTATTAATTTTGGTTCTATTTCCACACGCAACAAAGATAGTGTGAACCAGTTATATTTATCAAACAATTTAATGCGTAAATATTAAAGTAGATAAGTGTCTTAATAATAATATCAATAAGTATGTGTAAAACTTATCTCCTCTGTCTGAATACAACCGCTATTCTTTATTCTTGAGCGTTCGTGAGTCCAACAATGACTCACAATAGTTTCCAATAGATTAAAGCACAGAAGCCAAAAGATAGTTATGGCACGGAAGCCAAGATAGTTGTCTGGTAGATTGTAGCTTGTCAACCTACTTCGGTAGTCTATGCCTCCTAAGTTTATCTCCTCGTAGCTTGTGCTCGTAGGTTGTCCTCGTAGGTTGTCCGCGTAGGTTGTACTCAGTGGCGTAAACTACTGATATATATATATATATATATAATATCTAATGAGAAGTATTGTGGTTTTGTGACCTACATCCCATACGCAATACAGTATGTTACAGCAAGATGTAGTTAACCACAATAACAACAAATGCGGTTGCGGTTCTAAAATGTTTACACATTTAAGCAAGCTTCTAGCGCATGCAAGCAAATTTCTAGATAACGTCCTGATTATTAATATATGAAATTATGATATGATAAAATAATGATATTACATGATAGCAGATGGTATCATGTAACACCCTCCCTCTTGGAGAAAAAGAAGCACACAAGGGCTTTCTTTTAAAGTCGCAATGTAATAATGTCCTACGGTCGTGAAAGACAATCTGCAATGAGGTAGTCATGTCCCTTTATGTGACGGATTTCTATGTTGTACTCCGACAGTATAAGACTCCAGCGTAAAAGTCGTTGATTCTTTTGACGTAATTTATGCAGAAATACCAATGGGTTATGGTCGCTGTATACAATCAGGGGTATGTTGGAGGATGAGACATAAACGTTGAAATGTTGAATTGCAAGGACAAGAGCTAAACATTCTTTTTCGATGGTGGAATAGTTTCGTTGACTTACATTAAATTTTCGGGAAAAAAAGCAAACTGGATGATCTATTCCCTCGTCATCTTCTTGTAGTAACACTGCTCCGGCAGCTGTATCACTGGCATCAACTATTAGTTTAAATGGACGTGAAAAGTTTGGTGCAGATAGTATGGGTGAGCTTTGCAACATCGCTTTTAACTGATCAAAAGCTAACTGACATTGATCTGTCCAGAAGAATTTGACGTTCTTTTGTAATAATTTCGTCAATGGTTCAGCGACTGAAGATAAATTTGAGCAAAACTTCCGGTAGTATCCTGCCATACCGAGAAAACGCATGACATGTTCCTTGGTAGTTGGTTCTGGAAATTTGGCTATAAGAGTTTCTATGTCTTTTCGTTTTCCTTCGTCAAAATGACCAAGTTTTAATTTCATATTTTGTAGGACATCAGAACTGTGTAGCTTGGTCGACTCAGACAGATTGTAGAGCTCTATTCCATCATCATTGTAGTTGTTTAAACTATTATTTGTTTCTGTCCTAAATATGGTTACCACTCCTACATCATTCTTTCCCTCGGTACATTCTCTTTCATAATACGGTTTTAACATATTTACATGACAAAGTTGTTTTGCCTTGGGTCTATCAGGGGTGACTATTACATAATTGTATTCATTCTCTTTCTTTTCAATCACATAAGGACAAGAGTAATGCGATTGAAGAGTATTCCCAGGAACAGGAAGTAAGGCGAGAACCTTATCTCCCTGTCGAAAAGTACGACTGGTAGAAATCTTGTCGTATTAGCGTTTCATGCATTTTTGAGCTGACATAAGGTTATTTTTTGCTAAATCCCATGCTTTTGACAGCTTAGTTCGAAACTTAGAAACATATTCTGAGACATTCAATGATTCACCACCGTCATCAAGTAACTCATCTTTTAAAATACTAAGTGGTCCCCTTAAAATTTGACCGAAAACAAGCTCGAAAGGACTAAACCCTAAGGATTCTTGTATTGACGATCTAGCTGCAAACAAAAGAAAATGAACGCCTTCGTCCCAATCTTTTTCATTCTCAAAACAGTATGTGCGTATCATGTTTTTTAATGTTTGATGAAATCGCTGCTCAAAAGTACCTTGGCTCTCTGGATGATATGCAGTGGACTTGTATTGTTTGATGTTTTTGTCAATGCTTGAATAATCCTCGTTGTTTTTATGTTTTGTAATGGTATAGCTTCGGGGAACGAGTGCAAGCGCATATGATAGTAAGTAAGCATTGATTTCCCACGAGCAAGAAAAATATGCAGAGCAAATGATACATTTCTCGTCTCTTGTTTGCTCTGTTACGATCATTCAATATTGCATGAATATTTTTGAACAGATTGCAAATGCCTATTAATTGTCTGAAACAAAATATTGAAAAAGTAAAAACTTTTCATTACTGAAAAGCTGCATTCCTCTATTTAGTTCTTTAGACTTTTTTATATTGATAGTTCTGTCAAAATGCTCATAAATTTTATTCAATTCAGAACTTATATAATTATACGATTCAAACTTCTCTCTACGACTGACATATGTTGTTAACAGAATATAATGTATATCATGTAAAGTGTAAGTCGTAAATTTTCCTCGGAAAATGTTTAGGGGAGGGGGGGGGGGGTTACAACCATTAATATGTCTTCTTTGTATTTATTTTCTGAATTTTGTAGAGAGGAAAGGGAATGAATACGTTGAATTGAGCTCAATTTATTAAAAACGAGAACGAAAAATTGAAATCATGTGAAATAGGATAAATAAAGATAATTACCTAAGAAACTGGCCTTGTTTGAATTTGATATACTTTAGAAAGTTTCATGTTATGTTAAGTAAAAACGGGGTAAACTTCATTAAAATGAACTAGAAAAATTGAACAAAAGTTGCTTATAGACAATTTTACAATTTGGCTTTGTAGTATCTTATCTATGAACGGAAAGTAACATCTGCAGTGCACATTTTTCTTTAGGTTTATGGAGACACTTGAAATAGTTGACCAATTTGAATAACGTCAAAATAAACATATTTTTTTCCGCGGTGTTGTTATAAGGAATTAAAATATTTTGGTCTCTTATTTTCGATGTAGATGGTATTTCTTGCAATTGTTGAAACAATAATTTTGTTGCATATTGTGTCTGACACTAAATTTCTGCAATTACGGCTCTTTATCCCAAATAAAATTAAAAATCATGAAAATTTTGTGTCCCCGTACACAGAAAAGTACTAGTCTTGTGTTGATGTCAAAATTCAAAAAGCCAATATTACTAGCACTTTAGGAGAAGACAATTTCTGCTTCAGTTACATTTTGTCTAAGCTGCTGTTTGAGAAGGATTGAAAAAAAACTCGCCAGAATTCAAAGTAGAAATTTCATTGATAGCCGAATTGCCTCTTCAACGGTAAGCAAAGTAAACATAAAGAAAACCTAAAATTCAGAGCCTATCACATAATGCAAGAACATGAACTCTTATGGATTTGACTTCCTTATTAAGAGCATACATTTCATTTTTCATAGTCATGCCTATACGTAATTCAACAGATAGTCTAACACAATCTTTATCTTATAAAATACCTAAAGCATTATGAAACATTTTTCTATGTTTTTTTAAACATTTTCTGTAATTTAGAGTAGCGCAGCTATGCATCATATATACATAGCTGCCATAGATTAATTTGACTAGTCTAAAACTCTTTCAAAAAATTTACCATTTCGCAAATCTTTTTATCACATCATATTTATTCTTGTGATGAAAACAAAAACTAATTGATTAATCACAACCAATGATAAAGTTCTACTAATTAATATTTATGAATGTCTGGAATGTATTATATCTTATTTCCATTGATACGCCAGAGAAAATAGTAATCTAAAACTTAAATGTATGTGTGATAAAAAATATTTAATTAGACATAAAAAGTAAAATTTAGGATTGAGGGAAATGATAAAGAAAGAGATGTACATAAATGAACAAATTGAAATGGGGCAAATCATCATCAAACATCAATACAGAAGTCATTTTAAAGAGCAAGAAATATATGCACAGCAAATGATACATTTCTCGTCTCTTATTTTCTCTGTTACGATCATTCAATATAGCAAGAATATTTTTAAACAGATGGCAAATGCCTTTTAATTGTCTGAAACAAAATATTTGAAGAAGTAAAAACTTTTCATTACTGCAAAGTTGCATTCCTCTATTTAGTTCTTTAGACTTTTTTATATTGATAGTTCTGTAAAAATGCTCATAAATTTTATTCAATTCAGAACTTATATAATTATACGATACAAACTTCTCTCTACGACTGACATATGTTGTTAACAGATTATAATGTATATCATGTAAAATGTAAGTCGTAAATTTTGCTCGTAAAATGTTTGGAGGTGGAGGGTTGCAACCATTAATATGTCTTCTTTGTCCTTATTTTCTCAATTTTTAAGAGAGGAAAGGGAATAAACACGTTGAATTGAGCTTAATTTATCAAAAACGAGAATGAGAAATTGAAATAATGTGAAATGAGATGAATAAAGATAATTACCTAAGGAACTGGCTTTGTTTGAATTTGATGTACTTTAGAAAGTTTCATGTTATGTTAAGTAAAAACGGGTAAACCATTTTAAAATGAACTAGAAAAATTAAACAAAAGTTGCTTATAGACAATACTCCATTTTGGCTTTATAGTATCTTGTCTATGAACGGAATGTAACATCTGCAGTGCACATTTTTCTTTTAGTTTATAGAGACACTTGAAATAGTTGACCAATTTGAATAACGTCAAAATTAACATATCTTTTTCCGCGGTGTTGTTATAAGGAATTAAAATAATTTGGTCTTTTATTGACAATGTAAATGGTATTTCTTGGATTTGTTGAAACAATATTTTTGTTGCATATTTTGTCTGACACTAAATTTCTGGAATTATGGCTCTTCATCCCAAATATAATGAAAAATCATGAAAATTTTGTGTCCCCGTACACAGAAAAGTACTCGTCTTGTGTTGATGTCAAAATTCAAAAAGCCAATATTACTAGCACTTTAGGAGAAGAGAAATTCTGCTTCAGTTACATTTTGTCTAAGCTGCTGTTTGAGAAGGATTGAAAAAACTCGCCAAAAAATAAAAGGAGAAATTTCATTGATAGCCAAATTGCCTCTTCAGTGGTAAGCAAAGAAAACATAAAGAAAACATAAAATTCAGAGCCTATCACATAAAGCAAGAAGAATAACTCTTATGGCTTTAACTTCCTTATCAAGACCATACATTTCATTTATCATAGTTATGCTTATACGTAATTCAACAGATAATCTAACACAATCTTTATCTTATAAAATACCTAAGCCTTATGAAACATTTTTGTATGTTTTTTTAAACATTTTCGGTAATTTAGAAAAGCGCAGCTATGCATCATATATACATAGCTGCCATATAGTAATTTGACTAGTCTAAAACTCTATAAAAAAATTTTACCATTTCGCAAATCTTTTTATCACATCATATTTATCCTTATGATGAAAACAAAAACATATTGATTGATCACAACCAATGATACTAAACTAAAACTTGAATGCATGTGTGATAAAAAACATTTGATTGAACATTAAAACGAAAATTAATGACTAAGGGAAATGATAAAGAAAGAGAGGTACATAAATCAACAAAAGTAAAATGGGCAAATCCTTACTAAGCATCAATACAGAAGTCATTTAAAAAAGCAAGAAATGCACGCAACACAAATGATACTCTTCTTGTCTCTTGTTTCTTCAGCTACAATTATTCCATAATTCAAGAATATCCTTGACAGATGGCAAGTGCCTTTTATTTGTCTGAATCAAAATATCTGAAGAAATAAAAACTTCTGGTACTACAAATTAGAATTCCTTAATTTAGTTTTTTAGATTTTTTTTACTTTATTAGCTCTATTAAAATGCTCATAAATTTCTTTCAATTCAGAACTTATGTAATTATGAGAGTCGAACTTCTCTATACGACTGACAGATGTTGTAAAGCAGAATGTCATGTATTGCTTAAAGGGCCTCTCTTTCGTTAACTAGACGGCATGTCGTTACAGAGAGGCCAGGGAGTCTGTTAAACACGAAGCAACAGACTATTTTGCATTTAATTTTGCTGGCATAGTTAAGCAATACGTTTTTCCAATTCATCTGGTAAACTGAGTTAACATAAACAAATTAGAAATCAACCCATTTTAAATTTTTTGTAAACTGCTCTTGGTGAATTTCATAATTTGCGTCATTTCCTTATAGTGGACATTGAAATGTATTATTTCTTTCTATGCTTTCGTTTCCTAGAAACCTTATATCTCTTTCTTCAAAACACGTTCTACGCTGGCGAACTCTACTTATAAAAATTGTTGTAAGCATGAATCGTTATAATGAACAATTTGCCTAATCTCCTGCAACAATATTCAATCATTATCAATTTTATGAAAACAAACGTGTAAATACTTTTTGGAGAAGGAAAATTAAAATGTTACATAATTATAGAAATCAATACTTGATTTATACATCCCAAAAAAATTAAAAACAAACTGATTATATGATTATATTGATGATAAACCATTCATAAAAAATGTAAATTTTTTACTACGAAAGCTTTAAAGAAATTAATAATCGTCCATCTTCTAACAAATAGAAAATAAAGATGATATCAAGCTCAACAAAAGCGTTTCTTGGGACTCTTATAATCCTGCCTATTACTGTACAAATAGTAAATAGTAATGACGACATATCAATCTGCAAGAAAATCTTAGAGACACTAAAAGATAACGTGAAAGAGTAGATGGAAACTTGCGTTGATAAAAATGGCAATGACGATAACACATCTGCATGCAAGGAATTAAAACAATACAACAAAGAAATGATGCAAATGCAAACAGAAATGTGTTTCTACAAAGGTATAATCTTTAGATTTGTTAAATTTTCATAGTATCTTGTTCATAGCATTAAAAATTATATGCAACAATAATAGGTAGAAGTTATACAGCCAATCTAATTTCAGTTATTACTGATATTTCTACAGTGAAAAACTCTTTCTAAAAACACATGTTGTGGTCTTTCACCAAACATTATGATTCTAAAGTCTATAAAAATTTCATTTTTTTAATCCACTCGCCTCGTTGTTATTTATAGTTTTTTTATTGTTTATTTAGATGTTTATCCAAAGCCATATTTGATTATTATGAGCTTTGATAAAGTGTATTCTGTTGATTCTATTACTGGAGATATTCATGTCAGCGCTATTAATGGATCCAGTAAGACTAAATTTGACCATGCATCAAGATATATTGACATCGAAATTGATGTAGTTGAGAATGTGCTTTACTACATTGATGACAAAGACATCAAACGGGGAAATTTTGACTTGACTAGAAACGAAATTTTTGCGAAAAATGTTTCTGTTCATGATATTACAGTTGACTGGATTGGTCGTCGTATCTTTTACATTGACTCCACGAACATTATCTACCAAATTTGGTTGAAAACGAAAATTACAAGTTTTATGAGGCTTCAACCAGGCTTACAATTTTCGAGCATTGCATTTGACTCAAAACATGGGTAAGGCTATATTGAAATTATTTTTATTAACTTGTTAACGCAAAATTGCGAAACTATGTCAGTCTATTGGAGGTTTTTCTTCAGTAAGGTAAGAGTTTTTATTTTTAGAAACGGCATTTTAGTTTAATAGAAAAGTTGAATTTTTGAAGTCCGTATTATGGCCTGTTATTTAAAAGTACATAGAATAGAAAAATATCCCTTTTTCGAGGGACAAATTAATTTTTTTTTGTATAAAGAAACAAACGACAGCTTTTCAATAAAATCAAGGAGATTTGGCGAGCAAAATTTTATTGCGTGATTATGAGGCATTTCAAATCAACTGCAAGGATAAGCTCAGTTCGTGTGATTATTCAGCACACACGCAGTAGAAAGAACAAGCATATCCTGAAATTGCAAAAATCGACAGAGATATTTATGTTGAGCAACCAAAGAGCTTTGACAAAAATGTAACAACGGATAAAACAATGTTTATAATTGATGTAGTCGTTAAATGAAATAAAACAGAGAGATAGAAACTGCGATAAAGTATCAAATAATTACTTAACCGCTGAAACTTTAGTCAAATGCTCACAGAACATTGGTTTGCCACAACCTACAAACAAAAAGTAGTCCAATTTCACTGTGCAACTTGGTGTTGTACATTTACTGGGTTCGGCTGGCCACCTAAGAGCGCTTTTGTTTATCAGAAAATACAATTTGCTTGACGCCTCCATGGTAATCATATGCTTAATAAGATATGCCCTACACAAAAGATTTCAACAGATTGGGAGCATTGTTTGTTGCTTTGCTGTGCCCTTTCATATACTTTAACCCTTTTTTAGGCAGTGTAAGATATGTTCAACAATCTCAATACGAAATGGCAATAAAGTTTTAAAAAATTCACGAAGGTGGTGAACGAAAAAACTTCAACTTTTCGTTTTTTTATTGAAGATAAAAAAACTGCAAACATTCCCACGTAGTTACATCAAAAATATAAAAAAACATTTTAGTTTTCAAAAAATGTGGCAATTTAAAAAAAAATCAATATATCAAGTTTTTCAAGCCTTCTTTTAACTTGCATTGAACGGCAGAGTATATTGAAAAGTCAAAAGCTGCAAATTAAGTGTCTGCACACTACCCTTCAATAAATCCAATCACACATCCAATCAAATCACCAGAATTGAAAATCGTTCCACTACCTTTAGTTCATGCAGTGGTTCTTAGTGTAATTTAGGCAAACGTTAGATCTGTAGTTCCTCAACTAATGATAAATCTGAAGATAACAACCAAGTTAGAGATTAAAAAGAAATTGACTGAAAAGTCTGCGAAGTGAGGACTTTCTGAATATGTTATATATATTTTACGAATTTAAAAAAAATTCCTCTTCTAACGAATCCTATGAACTGTCCATTCATGAGAGCCTTCATATCAATAAATACAAGTCTTCACTCATCGTTCAAGAAAGTTCCATTCCACTTAACCTCTCTTAGCTTCAGTATATTTTACTTCCCAACTTCTTTATCAAATATTCCATTTGACACCGCCTCTTAAGTCGTAATTTAACACCTTTTGTAAATACAATATCTTGTCTTAACACCTCATTATAAACTATAATTTGCCTGAATATGCCTTGACTAAGGACAAAACGTCAGTATGAATTCCATTTTACAACTTTTGGTCTATTTCTATGGCTCTAATTAAAACTTTATGTGGGCATTAATTTTTGTCATATTACAAGAAAAAATTAATTTTCACAAACACAAAAACCAAACGAACGGTAGTATATACGAGAAAGTTTTTAAAGAGTTCGGGGAAAGGTAAAATGAACGACAAGAAGACATGGACTTTATTGTTACTCAAATGCATAATATAATTTAGAAATGTATTGGAGAATGCAAATATGATGCGATGATAATCAAAACTGCCAGTTGCATCAAACATTTTCGATAAAGTAAAGGCCATAGTATTCAAGCAGTTTTTGCAGCTTGTCTAATCAAGAAATTCTTAAAAACACGAACATGACATGGCGATAGAATCAACTTTTTCAAATGATACCAATAGCGCTAGCTCCAGTGTCAATCTTTTTCTGATTTTTCAGAAAAACAATGAAAAAATTTGACAATTAAAAAGAGAAGGTTAAGATAGTTGTAAAAAATCGTTTGTCCAAACAAATTGGAAAAAAGTATCAACAAAAGACAATGTTTGTGAAGCTATAGCTCTTTTGAAGACATTTGTAGACGATGATCCATCCAAGGAGCTGCTACTTTTCATGCAAGATGAAACTGAAATATTAAGAAAGCTTGAAATTGAAATGACAAAGCTTTCTTAACTTTATATCTACATTAAATTGTGCATATCATTTACCAACACCAAACTTTCAATTCGAACAAAATTTCCACCCATCAGCTAATTTTCGGCATTATCAATTACCAACACAATTCATTCGGCAGCCACTCCAAACTACAGCATTACTCATTCCGACAATAATATCAGACAATACCAATCATATAAGTTATGTGAATAAAAATAACATATTACATTTATTATGCTCTGAATCACATGCAATGTTTAATTACTTCATATATTTTAGTTCGGTTTTTAAAAGAGAGATTTCCAATGATAAAAATGATCTTTTCCTGTTAGTTACAATAGCTTTATGTTGCTGTATTATCAAATTTCATGAATATGTTACATTACACCGTCTATATATGAAGGAAGTTCTGAATGCTTTGACAACATCTTTGTCTAGATTAAAAAAAACATTCTATCTTTCCTTTCTTGCATATATTAGCCTTTTTATTGTTTATGTATCTCAGTACGTATAGCGAAAACTAATATACAAAACAAATATTTTTATTAAGGTATCTATTCTTGGCAGAAAGTACAGAAGTTTTCTTATTGTTATGGAACATGACTGCAAATAAACATCATATTCTTTCAGTTTCACTTCAGTCAATAGCACATGACCTAACGCTTGACATGGCTAAAGAGAAGATTTATTGGCGAGTTTCAAACGGAAATGTTTTTTCTTGTGATTACTACTCCCGTAATGTATTTGATTTTGGAACTTCAGGAGGTCCCATGGCAGTATTTGGGGATTTTATTTATATCATGACTAGTGTCGGACGAAGTGTTGTTAGTGTCAATAACACAACAGATCAACGTACGAGACGTAAATATTTTCTTCCTGTAAACAACGGTTATCTTGATTTGCCTGTAGCTATACACAGTATCACTCCTGACTCAAAAGGTAGTTAAATATTTACTTTTTAAAATAATAATCCAAGACTTGCAAAAACTCCCACGCTAATGTTCAGAAAAAAAGAAAGACGTTAAAAAGTTCAAATGTACATTGCCTTAGTAAACGGTTGTTCTTCCTTCCAAAATTATAGAAAATTTGATAAACATTAAGTTCAAAGTGCATAGTGCCTAATTTGGACAGTTTTGTCGTTTGTCTATTCTTGCCAAACGTCTTGGGTGTTAAATTTAAGTCTTTATTGTTTCTTACATCATTTCAACAATCACTCTGGCTTGTAATCAGTCCTAAATAAGAAAAAATTCATGAAAATAGGTTGAAAGACAAAAGCATCCAATTTGAGTATGTTGTGCAGTGAGCTTAATATTTATCAAATTTTCTAAAGTTTTAGTACATTGCAAAAGAGAGTTCAAACTTTTACATCTTTGGATTAAACTAGATTTGAAGCTTTTCATTTTCTTTGTGCATACAGTTCAAATTGAGACAATTACGAAGTACTCTCGTGGTTTTCGAGATTAAATTTTAATTCATTTTACTTTTAAATAAACAAGACAAGGCAATGCCAAAATACATGAGCTTTGACACATTTTGCGACAACTATTGATGAATTGATTATTTTCTGAACATTTTCAATTAAATAACTTCTTTAGATACATCCTATTTTAGTATCCCGAACAGCCAGCAAATTTGTTCATACTCTGTAAAGTTTCAACGTTTATTTAATTGTTTTGTTTTTACGATATTCGCGAACACCAAAGATAACAACACTATATAGCAAACTTGCTAGCTGGGTACGTCATAGTGGATACTGAGTGACAAATTGCGTTCTTTGAGGAAGAATATGTTTCGTTTAAAATCTCTGGTTGAATTTATTTTTAATTTTATTAATATTTATAGCGACAAGAACTTTTCGCTTTCATTTATGTGGACCCTACACATACTATCGTAAAATTAATGGAGCATTGAAGTGCACGTGTATGAAAGGATTCTCAGGAGAATGTA